GCTTCAAAGCCCTGAAAAGTTGGATCCAGGGCCAGCCTGAGGCCTGCAAACGGTGCCTTGCTTTGTCTTAATGGAATGGCGCTCAATAGATAGAAAAAGCCACTTCCCATCTTGCAGACATCACTGGAGCGTAAATTAAGTCTGAGGTACCCAACGTGGTTTGAAGGGTCCCAGCAGATGGTCCAAGGGGGACTGCGGAGATTAATCACCAAGGCTTTAATCTGTAGTTGGAGGGGAAATGGATGAGCCAGACTCAAAGCAGGGAAAACAGCACAGGGCTTGGGTTTGTGTTTTGAAAGATACTGGCTAATAGGCTTGGGCAATGCATGGTTCTAAATGGTTCTAAAGTACTTAGAAAACTAAAGTTCTAGTGGTGAAAATTTCAGAACTCTAACAAAACTTTCAAAATTTAATTATGAAAGTAAATATAAAATAATTATATTTCATTATTGGTGATTTTAATGACAGAACCAATTAGGAACTGCCATTTATTATGAAATTTTGAGAGTTTTGTTAGAGTTCTGAAATTTTCACCACCAGAACTTTAGTTTTGTAAGTACTTTAGAACCATTTAGAACCATGGATTGCCCAAGCCTACTCACTAATACATATCAGGTGCAATCTCTAATGAACAGGTACAGCCAGTGAGGTTTTTCAAAGATCCTGCCTGCCCTTACTTACATGTTAACCATATATACTTGAGTATAAACTGACTCGAATATAAGCCGAGGCACCTAATTTTCCCAACCCAAACTGGGAAAATGTATTGATTCAAGTATAATCCAACAGTGTGACGCTACTGGTAAATTTCAAAATAAAAACAGCCATAAAATTACATTAATTGAGTTATCAGTAGGTTAAATGTTTTTAAATATTTACATAAAACTGTAATTTAAGATAAGACTGTCCAACTTCGATTAAACCATTTTTCTAACCTTCAATATAAATAATAATAATAATAATCTTTATTTGTTACCCCGCCACCATCTCCCCGATGGGGACTCGGAGCGGCTTACACGAGGCCAAGCCCAAATGACAATTACAATAAAGGAAAACCAAAAACACAAACCGAAAACACGAACAATAAACAATAACATACAGTTCTTGTGGGTTTTTTCGGGCTATATGGCCATGTTCTAGAAGCATTTCTCCTGACGTTTCGCCTGCATCTATGGCAAGCTTCCTCAGAGGTGAGGTCTGCTGGAGCTGGGAAAAAAGGGGGTTTATATATCTGTGGAATGACCAGGGTGAGACAAAAGGCTTTTTGTAAGTTGGGCTGGGTGTGGATGTTTCAACTGACCACCTTGATTAGCATACAATGGGCTGACTGTGCCTGGAGCAAACTCTTCTTGAAAGGTGATTAGATGTCCCTGCCTGTTTTTCTTTCTGCTGTTTTTGCTGTTGCAATTTTAGAATTTTTTAATACTGGTAGCCAGATTTTGTTCATTTTCATGGTTTCTTCCTTTCTGTTGAAATTGTCCACATGCTTGTGTATTTCAATGGCTTCTCTGTGTCGCCTTACATGGTGGTTGTGAGAGTGGTCCAGCATTTCTGTGTTCTCCAATAAAATGCTGTGTCCAGGTTGGTTCATCAGGTGCTCTGCTATGGCTGACTTCTCTGGTTGGAGTAGTCTGCAGTGCCTTTCATGTTCCTGGATTCTTGGATTCATACATCAAGGGATTCATACATCTTGGATTCATACATCAAGGGAACCACTGACCGCATAGGGAAGCTGATGAGGAAACACAACATACAAACAATCTACAGACCCACCAAGAAAATCCAACCAATGCTAGTTCACCAAAGGACAAGAGGGATCCTCTCACCTCTGCAGGAGTCTACCATGTACCATGCAGCTGTGGGCAAGTCTACATAGGGACCACCAAACGCAGCACCAAAACAAGAAACCAAATTATTCTGGCAATGCTTTGTCCCAGAGCCAGGATTTCACTAGCTTTCTGAAAGTCAGGAGGGAAGGGGCAGATCTGATCTCCATCAGGAGACAGATAATAATAATAATAATAATAATAATAACAACAACAACAACACTTTATTTGTACCCCGCTACCATCTCCCAAGGGACTCGGTGCGGCTTACATGAGGCCGAGCCCACAATACAACAATAAACAATGGCAACAATAATACAAAAGCAATACATAAACCTATAAGCAAAATAAGCAAAAACAATAACAATAACACAATTGATTAAAAAACCTATGGCTGGGCCAAATGTAATAATTAAATTTTTTAAAAATAATGCTGGGCATGAACAGGTAACATGTAATTGGGATAGAGGTTTTGGAGAAGGAAGAAATGTGCAGACAATCTAAAGTCATTATTAAAATGCATCAATGACATATTGCTGGGAATTTCCTTATTCTGGGAAGGCACACTGAAACAGCCACATTTTCAGGCTCCTCCTAAAGACTGCCAGAGTTGGGGCTTGCCTAATATCCCAGGGGAGTGAGTTCCAGAGTCGAGGGGCCACCACCGAGAAGGCTCTCTCCCTCGTCCCCACCAATCGCGCTTGCAATGGTGGCCGGAGCGTGATCAGGGCCTCTCCAGATGATCGAAGAGATCGTGTGGGTTCATACACAGAGATGCAGTCACGCAGGTAGGCGGATCCCAAACCGTTTAGGCTTTAGAGTTCCACAGCCGAGGGGCCACCACCGAGAAGGCCCTGTCATCTCCACCAGACGCGATTGCGAATGTGGCGGGACTGAGAGCAGGGCTCCTCCAGAAGATCTTAACAACCCTCATGGTTCACAGGGGAGAATCCATTCGGACAGATAAACTGGGCCAGAGCCGTTTAGGGTTTTGTAGGTTAACACCAGCACTTTGAATTGTGCTCGGAAGCTAATTGGCAGCCAGTGGAACTGACGCAACAGAAAAGTGCCAGGGCCTTTGTGTGATGTATGGTGTTGTAGCTTAGGCTCTATATACATGGGCAGTAGTTCGAGGTTCTTGTATTCCAAACAATACAAGTGGTACCTTTAGCCGCTGTGCGCCTTGGCATAATCTTTCCAGTGAAGACTAAACCCATAGCAACACGGGTGGAGCAAATAACCCCTTGCAATGTGTTAGGCTTCGACTCTGGAGACCAGGCTTTAATTCCTCACTCAGCTTGGAAATTCCCCTTGGGCAAGGCACACACTCTCAGCCACAGATAACCCCATAGTTTTGCGATAGGGTCGCCATTTATTAGGGGAAAATATGAAGGAGCACAACAATGAAACATACATTATTATAAATGGCTGGATTTTTTAAAATACTACTTGACTTCCATCCCGCCTTAGGCTGTGCTCAAAATGATTTCAGCTGTCCTGCTTCATATTGCTCTTTCTCACAGACATAGCGGTCCACATAAATGTCAAGACCAAAGCCATTAAAGTAAGGCATGTTAGTGTTTCCTTCTGGAGGATGAATTAAATTGCCTCCTTAAAACCTGTCCTGGAGCTCTGTCCCCTGTGTTTGCATTTGCTTATCATAGAAAGTGATTTCCTGGAGGTGAAGCCATTTCTGATTGCTTCTAAATAGGGCATTCAAAAGCAGTGTTTAAAACTGTATATATTGCTTCCTCTAATTTTAAAGGAATGCTGAGAACGTGACGGGCATGAATGTGAAGCTCAGATTGATTACGCATGCTTACATTTATAATTGCAAATATACTTGGTCAGCTTTGTATTTCGGCACCAGTTTAGTAGCCTTTAGTGCAGCGTTTCTCAACCTGGGAGTCACAAAGGGGGTGTCAGTTGGGTCACCAAAGACCATCAGAAAACAGTATTTCCTGTGGGTTAATGGGGCTTCTGTGTGGTCCCAATTCTATCATTGGTGGGGTTCAAGGGGCTCTTTGATTGTAGGTGAACTATAAATCCCAGCAACTACAACTTCCAAATGTCAAGGTCCATTTTCTCCAAACTCCCAGAGTGTTCAAATTTGGGCATATTGAGTATCTGTCCCAAGTTTGGTTCAGATCTATCATTGTTTGGGTCCACAGTGCTCTCTGGATGTAGGTGAACTACAATTCCAAAATTCAAGGTCAATGCCCACCAAACCTTTCCAGTATTTTCTGTTGGTCGTGGGAGTTCTGTGTGCCAAGTTTGGTTGGATTCCATCACTGGTGGAGTTCAGAATGCTCTTTGACTGTAGGCGAACTATAAATCCCAGCCACTACAACTCCCAAAGTCAAGGTCCATTTTCTCCAAATTCTACTAGTGTTCACATTTGGGCATATTGAGTATTCATGCCAAGCTTGGTCCAGATCCATCATTGTTTGAGTCCACAGTGCTCTCTGGGTGTAGGTGAACTACAACTCCAAAACTTAAGGTCAGTGCCCACCAAACCCTTCCAGTATTTTCTGTTGGGCATGGGAGATCTGTGTGCCAAGTTTGGTTCAGTTTCATCATTGGTGGAGTTCAGAATGCTCTTTGATTGAACTATAAATCCCAGCAACTACAACTCCCAAATGGTAATATCAAGTCCCGTCCCCCCCCCCCCCCCCCCCCCCCCCAACCCCACCAGTATTCAAATTTGGGCCTGTCGGGTATTTGTGCCAAATTTGGTCCAGTGAATGAAAATACATCTTGCATATCAGATATGTACATTACGATTCCTAAATGCAAAATGACAGTGATGAAGTAGCAACAAAAATAATTTTATGTTTGGGGGTCACTACAACATGAGAAATTCTGTGAAGGGGTCGCAGAAAATATCTCTTCGCTTGAAAACTTGTAATTTGTGCCTCTGAGCTCATGTCTGAACCGGGAAACATTCAGGTCTGCAAAGGAGAGTTGAACCTCTTTGTCTTCCCAACGGAGAGCGAGGATCCAATCCTCAGCACATGTCCCTGGAAATACATCTCACTGAATGGCATGGAGTGCAATTCTAATAATAATAATAATAATAATAATAATAATAATAATGCCTGCCTCTCCTTGCATGGGATTTGGCACATGAGCCAGGCTGTGCGCATGTGCTTCAATGCGTGTCCCTTTTTCCAGCTCGACAGGCAGCAGTTTGAAGAAACAGTACGGACACTAAATAATCTGTATGCGGAAGCAGAAAAGCTTGGGAGCCAGTCGTACCTTGAAGGTTGTTTGGCCTGCTTGACGGCCTACACAATATTCCTGTGCATGGAGACACACTATGAGAAGGTAAGTTGGTGTCCATGCTGTCGCACGCTGGGCCTGTGCATATGACTGTGGACAGGACATAAATTCTGTGTGCCCAATGGGACGCCGGGGCTGCCTCGGATTAAAGGCCCTTAGATTCCCCCAAACAGAGTCTTTAGATTGTTTAAAGTAAATCCAACAAAATTCGTTATTGATGAAAACAAACAGGTACTTTCAAGCTTTCTTAACAGTCTATTGGCTCTTGCAATCTTGTTCACTGGGAACAGGCACTATCTTCTTATCTGTATACTAACTAATGGGGAAATCGTTAATTTCTAATCTGGGAAGTCTGTACTTGCCTCTGTTGGCGTGGAGCCCCTGCACCCGGTACCAACTGCGTCTGGCTTCCGCAAGCGACCCTTACCAACCAGAAATTTGTGGACTTCCAGGGGAAAGGAGTTCAGGTTTCGGTGATGGCTGGCTGAAGTCCCTCAGCAAAGGAGCTGTAAGGCTGTATGATACTCAGCCAAGCTGTGGGCTGTATAACCCCGGCCAAGCTGTAGAGCCCCTTCTCCCCGGCCAAGCTGTATATCTCCCCGGCCAAGCCGTAAAACTGTATGTCTCCCGGCCAAGCCGTATATCTCCCCGGCCAAGCCGTAGAAAACGAAGCTTTCTACAGGAGCTCTTCGTTTTATGTCCTGTGCGAAAGGCTTCTCTGTGTGGACTGACTCAAAAAGGCTCCTATTCCCTCCAAAACTCAAAAAGGGGCGGGACCAGGGAACCTAATGATAATTGACAGGTGGCTTGCCATATGATTGCAAACTATAACAGGAAGCCACCCTGCTGCAAAATCCCAAGCCTGGGATTGCAAACAGACATTTAATTCAAAGCAAATAAAATTGGAGCTCCTGGAACAGCTGTTCCAGAACAGTGTCCATTGTTGCTTGAAGAAGGAGCAAAGCAGTGGTGGTAAACTGGGATTCGCAGAGGAAGAAATTCCATTAAATACCCATGTTTTTATCTGACAGGAAAGGGTGGCCTAGCAATCTCTGGTTTCTCCAGTGTAATTCTGTAGTTGGTTTTCAGTGTAGGCCATGTTAGAAAACCAAGAAATTTCTAGAATTGTGTTCTCTTACATTAAGAATAAGGTAATGTCTTTATTGATTACTCTTAGAATGCAGACGACACCAAATTGGGAGGGAGAGCCAATGCTCCAGAGGAAAGGAGCAGAATTCAAAACGATCTTGGCAGATTAGAGAGATGAATGGCCAAAACTAACAAAATGAAGTTCAACAGGGACAAAGGCAAGAGACTCCACTTAGGCAAAAAAAACGAAATGTAAAGAGACAGAATGGGGGACAATACCTGGCTTGAGAGCAGGACATGTGAAAAAGATCTTGGAGTCCTCGTGGACAGGAAGGTGAACATGAGCCAACAATGTGATGTGGTGGCAAAGAAAGCCAATGGGATTTTGACCTGCATCAAGAGGAGCATAGTGTCTAGATCTAGGGAAGTCATGCTGACCACACTTGGCACAAAATGTCCTTAGACGCACTTTATTTTATGGGTTGTGCAATGAAATCCTTCCTCATTCCCGGAGCCTCCTCCTTATAACTTACTCTGCCCTATCTCCCAGTGTTTTTCTTTTAAAATTTTAAATTTTATCTTTGCATCTGGCCCTACCTAGTGAAATTTCCTGTGTTTTGAATGCTTGATTTTACATTGTTGTGTCGTATATTATTTTGATTTTGCATTTTCTGTATTTTGCTTGGTTTTATTATGTTTTGTGTTATATTGCTTGTATTGTATTGATGGGCGTGGCCTCATGTGAGCCGCACCGAATCCCCCTGGGGGAGATGGAGCAGGGTATAAAAAAAGTTTTATTATTATTATTACCCCTCTATTCTGCCTTGGTTAGACCACACCTGGAATATTGTGTCCAATTCTGGGCACCACAATTGAAGGGACATATTGAGAAGCTGGAATGTGTTCAGAGGAGGGTGACTAAAATGATCAAGGGTCTGGAGAACAAGCCCTATGAGGAGCGGCTTAAAGACCTGGGCATGTTTAGTCTGAAGAAGAGAAGGCTGAGAGGAGATATGATAGCCATGTATCAATATGTGAGAGGAAGTCACAGGGAGGGGGGAGCAAGCTTGTTTTCTGCGGAACAATGGCTTCAAACTACAAGAAAGGAGTCCCAAAAGTTAACTGTGTGTCCAGTAATCATCTTCTCTGAATCAACAATTTGGTGATGGATCTGGGCATTGTATGTTTTCACCCTGTTTCCCCTTCCTTTCTGCTCCCTCACCCATATTGTGCTTCAGTAGTTATATTTATAGTTTTAATGTACCAAACATACCAAGTTCGTATGAAAATGTGACTCTATTTCCTGTGCTGGTCAATGACCAAAATAAATGATTTACTTACTTACTTAGAAGAAAGGAGATTCCATCTGAACATGAGGAAGAACTTCCTGACTGTGAGAGCCGTTCAGCAGTGGAACTCTCTGCCCTGGAATGTGGTGGAGGCTCCTTCTTTGGAAGCTTTTAAGCAGAGGCTGGATGGCCATCTGTCAGGGGTGGTTTGAATGCAGTATTCCTGCGTCTTGCCAGGGGGTTGGACTAGATGGCCCATGAGGTCTCTTTCAACTCTATGATTCTATGAATGTTTGTACAGGAACAATGAAATTTCGCGCATACTGTAAAGTGGAGGTTCCTGGAAGGAGATGAGACTCAGCCCTTTCTCCCCAGTCTTTGCAGGCAGATTTATTAGGACAGATTGACGTCCTAATTGAACTCCTGCCTGAAGTCTGCATTGGTAGAGTCTGGAGAGAAGCGAGCTCTCTCAGGGAGAGCAAGATCTTAGGAATCCACATAGTTTTCTCTTGCATAACATTTCGTGGGAGGTGTGGATTTTTTTTCGTTTGCTGCCTGGCTCGCAGAGGGTGGGGCATTCGCAAACAATGTGAAAGTGCTCAAGTGTTGAGGTTGTTTTGTGCGAGGGCGTATTTGCAGGAGGGAGAGCATAGTTAAAGGGAGCCAGATTATTTATTTACCTGTGGGAGTGTTGCTGAGTATTTATTTATCATGTCAGAAGCAAATGGAGAATACAGTTATAGTACATTTTAAAAAACCACAAAGTTAAAAACTTGGCATTGTGCTAAATTTCCTTTGACCAGAAGCTTGCCACTTGGAGTGACTCTGGTGTGGTTGTGGGACAGACCTCCATTGTGCATGTGGCAGAGCTTGGGCTGAATTGTAGTCGGTGGTGTGTGGTTTGCTCTTCTCCACACTCACATGTTGTGGATTCCATGTTGTAGTCCCATTCCTTAAGGTTGGCTCTGTTGAAGCTGTTTGTAAGTTATAATGCAGATTTCAAAGTATGTATGTATGTATGTTTAAAATGCAGTAGCTATGTGCAGAGTGTATTCCTGTGTGGAAAGAGTTAACTGAACCATGGAGGGAATGGCATTCCTAGAGAGGTCATAAATCAAGTGTATGGAACATCACTCTGGAATGCAAGAGGTGTGGACTAGTACTGATAACAGCAGTTTGTATGTTCGCAATGTTACGATCGGACGGTGTAGAAGCAAGTTTACAATGTTCTGAGTGTTACTGTATATACTCGAGTATAAGCCAACCCGAATATAAGCCGAGGCACCTAATTTTACCACAAAAAATGGGAAAATGTATTGACTCGAGTATAAGCTGAGGGTGGGAAATGCAGCAGCTACTGGTAAATTTCAAAATAAAAATAGATACCAATAAAATTATATTAATTTTGGCATTAGTAGGTTAAATGTTTTTGAATATTTACTTAAAACTGTAATTCAAGATAAGACTGTCGAACTCTGATTAAACCATTATTCTAACCTTCTTCAATGTAAATGTGCTTACATGTCCTCCAATAATAATATATAGAGTATATTAATTATAATAATTAATTGTGCATTGTAATTGCTTATTGGTAATTTATGGATAATGTGTTAAGTCAATTGTTATATGTTGTATGGAACCACTGCTGTTTCTACTGTTTCTACTGTTTGTGAACCGCTGTGAGTCGCCTTCGGGCTTGAGATACAGCGGTATATAAGCAAAGTAAATAAATAAATAAATAAATAAATATAATAATAATAATAATAGTAATAATAATAATAGAGTAAAATAATAAATGTAACAATAACAATAATAAATAGAGTAAATTAATGTAATAATAACAACAATAATGAAATACTATATGTAATAATAATAATAATAATAACAACAACAAAGTAAAATAATAAATAATACTGACTCGAGTATAGGCCAGGGAAGACTTTTTCAGCCTAAAAAAAAAGACTGAAAAACTAGGCTTATACTTGAGTATATACAGTAAGTAGCTTCTAATGTATATAGCTGTAAAATAAAGTAGTTTATAGCCTAAAGTGGCTGTGATTGATTGTGTTTCTGCCTTGCTGTGTGGCCGATGACACCTACAGGCTCTGCATCTCGTGCTAGAGCACAGCCTATTCAGCACCTTCCAAGTCGCCCAGTCTTCTGTGTGCCCAGGAGTGAGTCTCTCATTTGGTATCAGCCATTGATTGAGGTTCTGGGTTTGAGCCTGCCATGTTTGGACTCTCACTTGCTGAGGTGTTCCGGCAATTGTCTCTGTAGATAGATCTTAGGAAAGTGTTTCTTGATTTAAGGTGTTGGCATGCCAGCTGATAACCAAACAGAGATGTCAATGGCTTGATTCTTTCATTCCTGGCTACTTCTTCCTGGCTTGCCTATATGTAAGCTGCCTTGAGGGGAGATGGTGGCCAAGTATGAGACCACATCTGGAATATTGTGTCCAATTCTGGGCACCACAATTCAAGAGAGATATTGACAAGCTGGAATGTGTCCAGAGGAGGGCGACTAAAATGATCAAGGGTCTGGAGAACAAGCCCTATGAGGAGCGGCTTAAGGAGCTGGGCAGGTTTAGCCTGAAGAGGAGAAGGCTGAGAGGAGATATGATAGCCATGTATAAATATGTGAGAGGAAGCCACAGGGAGGAGGGAGCAAGCTTGTTTTCTGCTTCCCTGGAGACTAGGACGCAATGGAACAATGGCTTCAAACTACAAGAGAGGAGATTCCATCTGAACATAGGAAGAACTTCCTGACTGTGAGAGCCGTTCAGCAGTGGAACTCTCTGCCCCGGAGTGTGGTGGAGGCTCCTTCTTTGGAAGCTTTTAAGCAGAGGCTGGATGGTCATTTGTCAGGGGTGCTTTGAATGCAATATTCCTGCTTCTTGGCAGAATGGGGTTGGACTGGATGGCCCATGAGGTCTCTTCCAACTCTTTGATTCTATGATTCTATGATTCTATAATAAAGAAATTATTATTATTTTAAATTTTCTTTTGCTATAAAAAATATTACAAGTAAAATAGGCTTAGGGATCAGGCTTTCATAGAATAGTGCAGTGCAATAACCAAACTGGAATATGTGCAATGACTACGGAACATCTTTGGCCTATGATTATGAATGGTGTGACTTTATATTGAGTATAATATTTTAAAAACATTTTAATATCTATTAATTTTAATTTAATTTTAATATTGTTGGAATTGTATATGTTTTAAGGCATTGAATACCTGCCTATATGTAAGCCGCCTTGAGGCCCCTTTGGGGGAGCGAAAGGCAGGGTATAAATAGGGGAAATAAATAAATAAATACAATGTCCAAAAGGTTTACTTTGAAGCCCCCAGTGGTGCAGCAGGTTAAACCTCTGAGCTGCTGAACTTGCTGACCATAAGATCGGCGGTTTGAATCTGGGGAGCGGGACAAGCTCCAGCTGTTAGCCCAAGCTTCTACCAACCTAGCAGTTTGAAAACATGCAAATTGTGGGTAGATCAATAGGTACTGCTCCCGTAGGAAAGTAATGGCACTCCATGCAGTCATGCTGGCCACATGACCTTGGAAGTGTCTATGGACAACGCTGACTTTTCAGCATAGAAATGAAGACGAGCACCAACCCCCAGAGTCGGGCATGACTGGACTTAATTGTAAAGGGAAACCTTTATTTTACCAAAATATTTAAAACCCCTAAACTATAAGGAACTTTCCTTTTGTGAGTTTCAGGAACTGGGAATAAAAATAGAAGAGACCATCACAATTAGTACAAAAATAAAACTTGTTTCCTCCATAATACCAAACAAACATCAACACTCCTTTTCAGTAAAATAATTTAGGAAAGGAAATATTATACATAGACTTATATAAGAGCTTTTAGCACTAATATAGGAGAAATATATGACTGCCTTGACTTCAGTGGTTGGAAAATGTTTCTTTCCGTGTGGAAATTTCTTTTCATTTGCTTTTCCATTTCATAAAAGCATTGCTAGGACTCATTCCCACCTGCCAAGAGGTTGTCTCTGCTGATTTTCTAGGATGGCATTCGTAAAATGATGGATGGGGTTTTTCCGTCCGCTTGGCTCCTCCTGGGATTAGATCTGCCTGATTGTTTGGCCAAGCGGTTCATGTCAGGAATAAAAGATCTTTGCCACTTCCTCTTGAAAGCCAGGACAAAATACTTTTCTTCCGCGTAGAGCCGTTTCCACTCTGCTCTATCGGGGCTTCGGATTTTTATACAATCTGGATCTGATGCCAGGTCCTTTGCTGCTTTGAGGAGACTCAATAAAGTGGTTTTGCAATAATCTCTTTTTTGGGAAGGGAGGCTGAAGGTATGTCAGTCCAGCCAAAGTCCTGACTTGGAATGAAAATACAGTTTCCAGAGACCACACTTGCGTTTAATGCATTTTTCTAAAGTTTCACAAAAGAATGATAAATTTTATGGGCACTCAATAATTATCTGGATAATCCTGACCTAACATTCCCTCCTTTTTGGTATTTTCCACTGGAAAATCGAACCACAAAGTATACTGTGAACCAGGTGACTTTTTCATCCAAGGTGGATCACATTGTTGAACATAATGCTTTTTAAAATGCCATCATGAGTTAAATTCAAAGAAACAACCATCCTTTACTAATCTATATAAATAAAAATGTAATGTTCGTTTGTGGGATTAACAGAACTCAAAAACCACTGGACGAATTGACACCAAAATTGGACACAAGACACCTAACAACCCAATGTATGTCCTTCACTCAACTCGTAATTTAAGATCTACTGGAGAGGCCCTGCTCTCGGTCCCACCAGCGTCTCAAATGCGTCTGGTGGGGACGAGGGACAGGGCCTTCTCGGTGGTGACCCCCCGCTTGTGGAATTTGCTCCCCAGCGGGATTAGATCGGCGTCCTCCCTCCTTACTTTTAGGAAAAAACTAAAGACGTGGTTTTGGAGCCAGGCCTTTGGCTAGTGGGCATAGCAGCACTTAAGGCACTGAACTCGGACAATAGGATTGTTATGAAAATTGGAACTGGTTATATGACTTGTGATTATGTGATTTGTTCTATGTGATTATGTAATTTTAATTAATATCACTGTTTAATTGTTATGTAATAGGATTTTATGTTGTTGGTTTATATTGTTATTGATACTGTTGGCATTGAATTGTTGCCCCTCGGGGGTGAGAAGGGCGGGGTAGAAATGGTGTAAATAAATAAAATAAATAAATAACAAGTATTCCAACAGCAGGAAAACATGGCATCAGGCAAAATCTGTGTTTGCCTTAACATAGGCATTGGTCTGTTTTGTGTCCTCCGATCTTGGCAAGAAAGGCTGCCACAAACCAGGTCCAAACACATGCCTGTTGAAGTCTAAAGAGTGCCGCAATGCTGGAGTTGATGCAAATGCTGTAGAACTGCCCTCTCTTATATTTTGTTTAGGTCCTGAAGAAAATTGCCAAGTATGTTCAGGAACAGAACGAAAAGATCTATGCCCCGCAGGGCCTTCTCCTGACCGACCCCATCGAAAGAGGGCTAAGAGTTGTATCCTTTTCAAGCAGACTTCCTCGCCTATTTTCTTCTGTCTTGAGATGCATGCAGATAGTCATAGCTTGGTGAGCAAAATGCTGGCAGTCATTGGAACAGAGAAGTTTACTTTGTGTACCTATACACATCTATCTTTATCTATACGCATAGATAAAGCCCCCGGTGGCGCAGTGGGTTAAACCCCTGTGCCGGCAGGACTGAAGACCAACAGGTCGCAGGTTCGAATCCGGGGAGAGGCAGATGAGAAGCCTCCCACAAGGATGATAAAAACATCAAATCATCCGGGCGTCCCCTGGGCAACATCCTTGCAGACGGCCAATTTTCTCACACCAGAAGCAACTTGCTCCTGACAAGATACACACACACACACACACATAGTGACAATATTTATGTGTATGTGTAGCTGGAGTGTCCACTTACACAAAACTATTCTGGGAAGAACAAGCTGACAAATAATCGCGGGTTTTCTGTCCTGTCAAGAAGATTCACTCCTGAAGAAGGTATTTACTGTATTTATTTATCTATATAAATAAAAATGTAATGTTCGTTTGTGGGATTAACATAACTCAAAAACCACTGGACGAATAGATACCAAATTTGGACACAAGACATCTACTAACCCAAGGAGTGACCATCACTCAAAAATGGATTTTGTCATTTGGGATTTGTAGTTGCTGGGATTTATAGTTAACCTACAATCAAAGAGCATTCTGAACTCCACCAGCGATAGAATTGAACCAAATGTGGCACACAGTTCTCCCATGACCAACAGAAAATACTGGAAGGGTTTGGTGGGCAGTGTCCTTTGGTTTTGGAGTTGTAGTTCACCTACATCCAGAGATCACCTACTAACCCAAGGAGTGACCATCACTCAAAAAATGGATATTGTCATTTGGGAGTTGTAGTTGCTGGGATTTATAGTTAACCTACAATCAAAGAGCATTCTGAACTCCACCAACAATGGAATTGAACCAAATGTGGCACACAGGACTCCCCATGACCAACAGAAAACACTAGAAGGGTTTGGTGGGCATTGACCTTGAGTTTGGGAGTTGTATTTCACCTACATCCAGAGAGCACTGTGGATTCAGTGATGGATCTGGACCAAACTTGGCATGAATATTTCATATGCCCAAATACGAACACAGATAGAGATTGGAGGAAATAGACCTTGATATTTGGGGGTTGTAGTTACTGGGATTTATAGTTCACTTACAATTAAAGAGCATTCTGAACCCCACGAATGACAGAATTGGTGCAGACTTCCCATACAGAACCCCCATGGCCAAGAGAAAATACTGAAGGCCATCAAGTCCCAATTCTCTTCACCAGGGCAAGAAAATCTAATCAAAGCCCTCCTGACAAAGAGCCATTCAGCCATAGATATAGATAGATATGATTCACTCACAGAGAGAGATATAGTATCATAGCTTTGAAAGGGACCCCTAAAGAAGGACAAGTATATGTTGCATGTTCCAGGGTGGGCAAACCAGACAATCTCCACATCAACACTGACAAAGAAACAGCAAGAAACACTGTCTATCCACAAGCATAAAGAAATTACATAGATTAGAAACCAATACTTTCTTATTACTTTATTTCCCAGATCACCAGACTGGGCCACAGCAACACGTGGCAGGGGACGGCTAGTTTACTATATTTGTGTACCGCGCTTCTCAGGTGAGTGCTATGAAGACTCACCGTGGAAATAATAAAACAAGATGCTCTCTAATCATGTCTTTATCTCGGGAGGAGCGACTTGCTCCCAAATTCAAGATTCCAAATGGAAACCTGCTTCTGCTTCTCACTTTTTCAAAGGGTAACTTCTGCACCCACTCTTGGAAAACAGCAATTGCCTCTTCAAGTAGAAGCCTGTGCTGTATGATGTATTATTCTGCTATTTTTTATTATTCATGTTGCTATGCTTCAGCATCGTTTCCTTAACAGTCTTCCTGTGCAGATTGAAATTACGATTTATGAAGACAGAAGTGTGAGCAGCGGGAGATAAATCCCCGCCGCTTGAGGTAAGTACTTGGCGGTGGATGGCTGTCATGAGAAACAGCCCCTCAATACCATTTTCCTCCTCCCCCAGTGATGCTGTTTATATAATCACTGCATCAAGCCTTGGGCTTGTCTCAGCAAAAGCATTGCTCGGCGGATTTGGGAAATGCAATCCGCTGTCCGGTTCAAATTGCTACCGTTTAGTTTAGAAGGTGATTATTTTTGGCCCACAAAAAGGGGTTTCGTCTGGAGTTAACCCTTAAAGCTGCATCCCATAAAATAATAGATCAAAACCATTCTATTTACATAAAACTAGGAAATCAGGGCATGCCACCCTCTCACCCTCCAGCCCTTCTTGCTGCTTGCTTGCTTGCTTCTCTCTATAGGTCCTTCCTTCCTTGGCCCATCCTCCCTCCCCTTCCTCCCTACTTCCTTCTTTTCTTCCTTTCTTGCTACATTCCTTCTTTCTTTCCTCCTACCCTCTCTCTCCCTCCCTCCCTCCCTCCCTCCCTCCCATCCCTTGGTACCATCCCTTCCTCCCTCTTCCTTCCTTGCTCCCTCCCTGCTTTTCTTTTTGCTTTCCTCCCTCCTCATTTCTTTCCTTCCTAATTTCCTGCCTTTTTTCTCTTTTCCTCAATCCCATCCCTTCCTCCCTCCTTCCTTCCTTCTTCCCTCCCGAATCCTCCCCTCCCCTTTAATTTGTGCCTTTCTTGTTTTCTTCCTCTCTCTCTATCCTTCCTTGCTCCTTTCCTTCCTCATTTCCTTCCTTCCTCTTTTCCTCGATCCCATCTCTTCCTCCCTCCTTCCTTCCTTCCTTCTTCCCTCCCACTTCCATCCCTCCCCCTTAATTTGTGCCTTCCTTCTTTTCTTCCTCTCCCTCCTTCCTTCCTTGCTCCTTTTTTTCCTCATTTCCTTCCTTCCCCTCCTCTCTCTCTCTCCCTCCCTCCCTCAGTCCCGTCCCGTCCCTTCCTCCCTTTCTTCCTTGCCACCCTACTTGCTTCTCTCCTTCCTCCTCTCCCTCCCACTTCCTTCCCTRCRTCCTTMCTTDGCYCCTTCCTTTTTCRTCCTCTCCRTCCTTTTCRTTCTTCTCTCCCTCCCACTTCRCTCCCTCCTTGCTTTGCGCCTTCCTCCTTTCCCTCCAACCTTCCTTGCTCRCATCCTTCTTTTCTTCRTCKTTTCCTTCCTTCCCTTCCTTTCTCCCTCCCTCAGTCCCATCCCTTTCTTCCCTTTCTTCCTCCTTGCTTCCCTCCCTCCTTCCCTCTTTTCTTTCCTTCCTTCCTTCCCTCCCTCTCTCCCTCCAGCCCTCATCCCTTTTTGCTTCTCTCCCTCCTTCCTTGGTCCTTTCTTCCTTCCCTCCCTCTCCCTTCCTTTCTCCCTCTTTCCTTGAAAAATAAGATTAGCCCCAGGATTACCCAACTTATAAAGAAGATGCAGGCTCCAAAATCACATTGATGCAAACCGAATTTAATTTTCTATTTAAATTGTTCTTTTTTATATCATAATAGTGCCCTTTAATTCGTGTTCCTATTAAGTTTAACGAATATGTTAAAAGTGTTGGTTAAAGTTTACTTTTAGATTAACATAAATTATTATTCTTGAACCTTATGGTCCTAGCTGACAACATCAACAAAAAATCAGCATGGTACCTGGTCAAAAAAGGTTGGGAGCCACTGTGTTGGACATTGCGTGGTAGCAAGTGTGGAGAAAGGTTGCAGGTTTCAGTCTTGTGTGGTGTGGAGGTCTTCAGGACCCTCAACACACACCTGGGCAAGAAGTTTTCTCCTGAGCTCATCAGAAAGTGCCAGTTAGTGCATTTACATTCTTGAAAATCTTGAAATCTTGGTCCTGTAGCTGTTAATTTTCTTTGGCTAATGCTGGATCCAGAACGTGTTCTGAGCAAATCGCCTACATTTAGATAAAGTTTTATTTGCACGAGTTGCCAGAATGTCCTGCTCTTGTCGTTTCCTTGCATGCAGTCATGTTTCTTGGCACAAAGGAGTAGATTTGGAGCCAGTAGAGGAGTGAGCAAGAGGAGAAATTATAATTAGTACTTTCTGGAGGAGGAATACTCAACGACAACACGAGTCTGGCCACCTGATTGTGTAAGCCAACAGTTTTTCGAAGTAGCAAACAGGAAAAAGCCAAGCTGTTTGCTCTATTGAAATACTAATACATACACATGTAGCGTGTTGTGCTAGTTTTGTCCTTGAAGAAGGAAGGGACACACGGCATCATTTTGAACTGGAAGAATTACAGAATTGAACCCAAGCAGATCTGTTTTGAGCTTTTGAGACAAAAGCAGCTCGCCATCCCGCCTGTTCCCCAGTGGCGCAACTTGCCCTTGGATAGCCTTTGGCGGATTTTTGGCACGCTGAAAACGCAGCGGCGAACCATTTCAACGGTTCAAATAATCCCTTCGTGCTCAAGAGGAAAGTAGCATATTCTGTCTCTCCTCTTCTGCGCCTGCCGTGCTATTTTCTCCTCTTGTGAGCCACATCTGTTGGCACACAGTCCATTAGCTATGAGTCATTGATCCGCTGCTAGTGCGAACTGGTGGGTTTTGTGGGGATTCTGAGCCATTATAAGAGCGCATACGCCATTGGTGTTCAAGCCCCTGTGAAATGAGTTGAAGGAAAGTGGAGGGGGACTAAACATCTAGGAGGTTTTGTCAGCTCCAAATGCTTTGCTTTTATAATCTTCCAGCGTTGTAAATGTATAATAAGGCCATGCTTAGCAGAGAGAAGCATTGCCGATGGCATGACTTGCAAATCCCTCTCCCAATCCTGCTGCAATCACCTCAGCTTTGCTTCCATCCAGGAAATTCAAGGGGCAAAGCTATGGAATAGATTCCAAGCTGAGAAGCCAAGAGTTGACCCAACAATGTGATGCAACAGCTAAAAAAGTCAATGGGATTTTGGCCTGCCTCAATAGGAATCTAGTGTCTAGATCAGGCCCGGGCAAACTTTCTAACTTGGGGGCCGCATGCTAGCACTCCCTGCTAAGAGGACTGGCTGTCCAGTGATGGAAGAGAAGGAAGGAAGGAGACAGAGGGGAGGAAGGAAGGAAGGACAAAGGGGAAGAAGGAAGGAAAGAAGGAAGGGAGAAAGGAAAGAGAGATGGAAAGACAAAAAGGAAGGATGGAAGGTGAAAGGGAAAGAGGGAAGAAGAATGAAGAAGGAAGGAAAGAGGGAAGGAGGGGAGAAAAGAAGGAAGGAAGGACAAAAGGGAAGGAGGAAAGAAAGAGAAGTAAGGGAGGGAGGAAAGAGAGAAGGAAGGATGGAAGGACAAAAACGAAGGATGGAAGGAGAAAGGGAGAGAAGGAAGGAAGGAAAGAGAGAAGTAAGGGAGGAAGGAAAGAGAAGGAAGGGTGGAAGGACGAAAAGGAAGGATGGAAGGAGAGAGGGAAGATGGAAGGAAGGAGAAAGGGAAGGAGGGGAGGAAAGAGGGAAGGACAAAAGGGAGGAAGAAGGAAAGAGAGAAGGAAGGGTGGAAGGACGAAAAGGAAGGATGGAAGGAGAAAGGGAGAGAGGGAAGAAGGAAGGAAGGAGAAAGGGAAGGAGGGGAGGAAATGAGGGAGGGAGGAAAAGGAAGAGGAGGATGGAAGGGAGGAAGGAAAAAGAGTAGGAAGGAAGGGCGAACAGGTGGAAAGGAATTGAGGGAGGGAGGAAATAGAAAAGGAATAAAAGACAAAAGGGAAGGAAGGAAGGAAGGAAGGACAAAAGGAAGGAAAGGAAAAAAGGAAGGCGGGGAAAAAGGGAGAGAAGGAAGGAAGGCAAGGATGGTGAGAGAGTGGAAGACCTGAGAAAGGGGCTGCATTCAGGCCCTGGGTTTGCCCATACCTGGTCTAGATCCAGGGAAGTCATTTAACCTCTCTATTCTGCCTTGTTCAGACCACTTGACCTGGAATCACATTGTGTCCAATGCTGGGCACTGCAACTGAAGGGAGATGTTGATTCTAAACTGGAATGTGTACAGAAGAGGGCCACTAAAATGATCAAGGGTCTGGAGAACAAACCCTATGAGGAGCGGCTTAAGGAGCTGAGCATGTTTAGCGAGGGGAAGTCATTGGGAGGAGGGTGCAGGCTTCTTTTCTGCTGCCTGGAGACTAGTATGCAATGAACTACAGGAAAAGGACATTAGGAAGAACTTCCTGACTGTGAGAGCTGTTCAGCAGTGCCCTGGAGTGTGGTGGAGGCTTCGAAACAGGCTGGATGGCCATCTTTCGGGGGTGCTTTGAATGCGATTTTCCTGCTTCTTGCCAGAACGGCCCAGGAGGTCTCTTCCAACTCTAGGATTCTGTGACCCAGAATATCTGGAGTGTTCTTGCTTGGACTATAAGCAGAGTTTTTGCTGTTCACTGAATTAACAGAATGGACCACATGTGCAACCCACAGGAAAATGCTTGTTTCTGGAGAGCTAGTTATTGGCTTCTCTCCCTATCAACCCCTTATTTCTCCACTGCATTTTGGCCGAAAGCAGGGGTGGTTAATCTCTTTCCTCCCAGAGACAAAAATTGCCCTATTTTTCTATCCCAAGGATAAAAAAAGAATCCCCAATGGCTATGTGCTCTAATCCCACTCAGCCAGGGCTTGGGAGAGCATGAGCTGGGCAGAACAAAAGGCAAGAGATGCGGAATTTGGGGTGGGGGGGGGGAGAGAGATCTTAAAGGCTTACGGAGAGCGCTTCGGGGAATATTTACCACCCCATTTGTATAAAGGGATCTTGCCCCGGTTTGGCTCCAGGTGCAAACACAGATTGCAATGGAAATGGGAAGAAGCCTCGCTCTTGTGGCATTTGTACCCGTTCAGAAAATAGTCACCTTCTCAAGGTGAGCATCAGAACCAGGCTTTTCGTTGCTTCCCTCAAATCTTTCTGCAAAAAGGGGAAAAACAGAGTGGTTGGCATGTATAGCGAAGGTTTGTGGGAGGAAACTGCTGAGCTTGTTGACCGAAAGTTCGCAGGTTCAATTCCGGGGAGCGGCGTAAGCTTCCGCTGTCAGCCCTAGCTTCTGCCAACCTAGCAGTTCGAAAACATGCAAATGTGAGTAGGTCAATAGGTACCGTTCCGGCGGGAAGGTAACAGCACTCCATGCAGTCAGGCCGGCCAAATGACCTTGGAGGTGTCTACGGACAACGCTGGCTCTTCGGCTTAGAAATGGAGATGAGCACCACACCCCAGAGTCAGACATGACTGGACTTAATGTCAAGGAACAACCAACCAACCTGTGGGAGGAAAGTGCTTTCAACCTCTTGCAAGAGCCTGTCAACCATAACTGTCCTCTCCCCAAACCCTCCAACATCTCTCAAAGTGGAACAAATGTGATCTCAAAACATATCAGATTGTGTGATCCAATCATAGAGTCAGAAGAGACCCCAAGGGCCATCCAGTCTAACCCAGTTCTGCCATACAGGAACACACAAAGCATTGGGTTGTTGTAGGTTTTTTCGGGCTATATGGCCATGTTCTGGAGGCGTTCTCTCCTGACGTTTCACCTCCATCTATGGCAAGCATCCTCAGAGGTAGTGAGGTCTGTTGGAACTAGGAAAAAGGGTTTATATATCTGTGGAATAATGACCACGGTGGGACAAAGGACTCTTGTCTGTTGAAGCTAGCTGTGAATGTTTCAACTGACCACCTTGAATAGCATTTGATGGCCCGGCAGTTTTTTGGTGTGGCTTGTTAGTGCCTGGGGCAATCTTTTGTTGAGAGGTGATTAGCTGTCCCTGATGGTTTCCTCTCTGTTGTTTTGCTGTTGTAATTTTAGAGTTTTTTAATACTGGTAGCCAGATTTTGTTCATTTTCATGGTTTCCTCCTTTCTGTTGAAATTGTCCACATGCTTGTGGATTTCAATGGCTTCTCTGTGTAGTCTGACATGGTGGTTGTGAGAGTGGTCCAGCATTTCTGTGTTCTCAAATAATATGCTGTGTCCAGGTTGGTTCATCAGGTGCTCTGCTATGGCTGATTTCTCTGGTTGAAGGAGTCTGCAATGCCTTTCATGGTGGTCCCTCTGTAGACTTGTCCACAGCTGTATGGGATACGGTAGACATGCAGCTGTGGACAAGTCTACATAGGGACCACCAAACGCAGCATTGCCCAGACACGAATCCAGGAACATGAAAGGCACTGCAGACTCCTTCAACCAGAGAAGTCAGCCATAGCAGAGCACCTGAGGAACCAACCTGGACACAGCAGATTATTGGAGAACACAGAAATGCTGGACCACTCTCACAACCACCACGCCAGACTACACAGAGAAGCCATTGAAATTCACAAGCATGTAATTTCAACAGAAATGATGAAACCATTAAAATGAACAAAATCTGGCTACCAGTATTAAAAAAAACTCTAAAATTACAACAGCAAAACAACAGAGAGGAAACAATCAGGCACATCTAATCACCTCTCAACAAAAGATTGCCCCAGGCACTGCCAGGCCATCAAATGCTAATCAAGGTGATCAGTTGAACCATTCACACCTAGCTCCAGCAGACAAGAGTTCTTTGTCCCACCCTGAGATTTAGACACCATGTTCCTATTGATGCAGCCTTAAGTCGCATTGGCTTTTCCAGCATTGCACTGCGGACTCTTGTTCGTCTTATGGCCTGCCGTAATTTCTTCACTCTCCTTTTCTCCCCAGGGTCCAGCTTCTTTGTTCCAGACACCCCCTCCTACTTCCTTCATTATCACATCATTCCTTTCTGCCGCTGCCAACTCCACAGTGCCATCTGCCACAAGGACTAGCTTTTCAAAGCCCTTTTCTTTGGCTGGGGGAGCCCTGGGAGTTGGTCAGCATCCGTTTTGTGTCATTAGGACAGGCGTCGTCATGCGTTGGGGTCGTCTAGGTGGCCGACTCCCACGACAGCGTTGAAAGCCATGGACGTTGGGCACAAGACCAATCAGGAGTCTCCGAAAGCAGTGGTGCTCCCTCCCCGGGCAATGGGTATCAATGTTTGTTCAGACAGAAAGCAGCATTATAGCCTTGGTGGGTGAATTATTGAATCAGGATGTCTGTTTTTTCCCCCTCTGCCGATCAAGAGCAGCCTCAAAAGCTATGCCATCGTGCATCTGAATGCATCCTGCTGACAGGTTCAGTAAAGAGCTTCTGTTTTGAGAAATGGATCCCGTTGCTTTTGCTGCACCTTTAAAAATATGCTAAAAGCGGTCTCAGACTGAGGCCTTTCTCCCACTGAGGGCTCTCTCGGACTGAGGCCTTTCTCCCACTGAGGGCTCTCTCAGACTGAGGCCTATTCCACTCTGAGGCAAACTAACATTGAGGACATACAGCCCGAAAATCGTACGTGAAAAGCTGCTCTTTCTGTTCCAGGCAAGGCAAAATGTCAGCTGTGTCACGACCACCCTTGCTCTACACCCGTTTAAGTGTTAGATATGTGAAGTAGGTAAGTGACAAGTGGTTTTCCCCTCCAGATGTTTAGTAGTAGAGCAGAGTAGACAACGGTGTGTCCGACGGTGCTTCGTCCCTGTCCCTCACCAAGTGCATCTCTTCCGCCTGTGCAACTTTCCACTTCCCTTCAGCATTCCTCTGGCAGCCCTTGCAAAAACAAACACGGAACATCTCTTCCTCTGAGTCGATACTTCCTGCCGAATCCAGGGCTTCCTTGTTGAACTCGCCCTCCTTGAATCAAAACGGGCCTTTTGTAGGAACTGAAGTAGAAGCTCGCAACGATCCCTGCTGTCCGGGACTCCACATTTCCTTCCGCGCCCAGGAATTTGCCAAACGAGGCCATTTACCAAATTGATCAAAGCCTGTGACTTTTTTAAAGACTAGAGCAATACAAGAGATGCCAATCGAGGATCAGGGCCTTCCGGTGGATTCTTCTCTTTCCTTCCTTCCTTCCTTCTCTCCACCGATTTCTTTATCCTCTCCTCTCAAAAGTCCGGTTGATATTTTAAGTGTATGAATAAAATACCTGTGGGTTCCTTTTTTTCCTAAACTTATAACAGTGTTTTTGCCTCTTGTACCTGTTGAAATCAGTTTCCAGAAATATGAATGGATTAGTAATGTTTTTTTTTCTTAAAATAAATTGTCTCATTTGCTAGCACTGACCTGAAAGGCCGCTTTGTTGTTGTTCCACAAAAGGAAAACCGAGGAGTTTTAGAGAGGATTGGGAATATCTTCTACGCTGCATTAAATGCAATTTATAGTCACAGTAAACTTTATTACTGTTGCAACTCAGGGTAGTTTTCACCTTGCTCCCAAACACCACAACACCAAAACTGTAGATTTTGTAGTTTATTGAGAAAAAGGCAAAGTCAAAACATAGTAAAGCAAATGCAAGAGTTCCATAGGCAGGACACAGGCTTAAATGCAAAGACACAGTTCCCAAGATCCAAAGGCAAAAACATGAAGCAATAATCCTTTAAGCAATGGTCAAACACAGTGATCTGGCCACAGTGGTCCACGCTCTTGTTACATCCCGATTAGATTACTGCAACGCACTCTACGTGGGGTTGCCTTTGAAGACTGTTCGGAAACTTCAATTAGTCCAGCGGGAGGCAGCCAGATTAGTCACCGGAGCGTCATACAGGGAGCATACCACCCCCCTGTTGTGTCAGCTCCACTGGCTGCCGATCCAATTCTGAGCACAATTCAAAGTGCTGGTTCTGACCTACAAAACCTTATATGGTTCCAGCCCACTGTATCTGTCAGAACGGATCTCCCTCTAAGTCCCGCCTCGGAGTTTAAGATCTTCTGGGGAGGCCCTGCTCTCGGCCCCGCCTCTATCACAAGCGAGAATGGTGGGGACGAGCAGGTCCTTCTCGGTGGTGGCCCCTCACCTGTGGAATTCTCTCCCCAGGGAAATTAGATCAGTGACATCCCTCCTTTCCTTTAGAAGAAAATTAAAAACATGGATTTGGGACCAGGCCTTTGGGCAATCTGGCAGATGAATAAAGGACTACGACGACCGATAAGAATAGATAATGTAGAACAAAATATGGACTCTGATTTGGCGAACACTGAGCTTGAGATTGGTTTATTGACTGTGATATATATTGATTGTTTTAACTGTCTTAATTATTTTAATTGCTGTTTTACACATTTATTTGTATTATTGTGTAGGCATCGAATTGTGCCTTTTTGTAAGCCGCCCTGAGTCGCCCCTCGGGGGTTGAGAAGGGCGGGGTAGAAGTACACTAAATAAATAAATAAAATAAATAAACAAGAGTCCATGGTAAAACAGTGGGACACAAGACCCAAAATCCCAGAATCAGGAACCCAAAAGCGTGCTGCTTAAAGCCGAGGTTAATCCGTAGAGGTTTGCATGGAAAGAGCCACGTTGAACTGACAACGCCTGTTTGTCAGCCAGAAGGCTAAATACCCTTTGCAGTCATGAACGCATTGTGATGACCTTTGGTTGACTTGGCCTCTCGTTTACTAGCTAAGCGAGAACTTCTCCGGACCTTTAATTACAGGCGATCCTGCCTGCTCATTAATTCATTATCTTCAAGGCTCTCTAACCCCTTATCTTGGTTTACCAGCTGGGCTGGATCATCGTGGGAAGGCAAAGGAGGCAAAGACATCTCCACCTGGCCGTGTGGGAATTCACTCTCATTATCATTCTCACTGACATCCTTTTCCCCTGAGAACTGACTTGCTGTTTCCCCTTCTGCAGCCTCACTTCCAACCTGTCTGAGACATGGACAGAAATCTGTAACCCATCATCCTCTTCATCAGGGAACTCTGGCTCACAAGACCCACAGGGCTCAGCTTCAGACTCAGAGTCAAACTGAGTCACAACAATTACGGTCGATGACCAGATCATTACAGGGGGACCCAGTCCCACACATCCACGTCAAACCCAAGAGGTTATATGCTTCAGACCAACAAAATTTAAAATCTAGGCTAAAAACCACATACAAGTAGTTATTAAAACCCAACACTATAAATATTATCCAACACTATAAATATCAGTCTATATCTGATTTCCCATCTATATTACAGAGGTGAAGCCTAGGTCTTTTGACTCTCAATTATCATCTGCCAGATTTTAATCGCAGCTGTGCAGAACTTAGCAATGCTGTACGTCACAGCTGAGTTTGTGTCTGAGAGCAGAAGGGCTACGTAAAATTGTCCTGGGTATTTAATTGTCCATGACGAGACAAGAGATCAAGTCTATATAAATAAAAACGTATTGTTCGTTTGTGGGATTAACATAACTCAAAAACCACTGGGCAAATTGACATCAAATTTGGACACAAGACACCTCTCAGGCCAACAAGTGACCACCTCTCTCTATATATAAATGCTCTGTGCATAATGAGTACCTTAAAAACGAAAGAACCAATGAACGAAATCACACCAAATTTGGCAACAAAATGTCTCACTACACAAGGAGTGACCATCACTCAAAAAAATATGATTTTGTCATTTGGGAGTTGTAGTTGCTGGGATGTATAGTTCACCTCCAAACAAAGAGCATTCTGAACTCCACCAACGATGGAATTGAACCAAACTTGGCACACAGAACTCCCAAGTCCAACAGGAAATATTGGAAGGGTTTGGTGGGCATTGACATTGAGTTCACCTACATCCAGAGAGCACTGCGGACTCAAACAATGATGGATCTGGACCAAACTCTACACGAATACTCTATATGCCCAAATGTGAACACTGGTGGAGTTTGGGGAAAATAGAATCTTGACCTTTGGGAACTGTAATTGCTGGGATTTATAGTTCACCTACAATCAAAGAACATTCTGAACCCCACCAACGATAGAATTGGGCCATTGTTTGAGTCCACAGTGATCTCTGGATGTAGGTGAACTAGAATTCCAAAACCAAAGAACACTGCCCACCAAACCCCTCCAGTATTTTCTGTTGGTCATGGGAGAACTGTGTGCCAAGTTTGGTTCAATTCAGTCATTGGTGGAGTTCAGAATGTCCTTTGATTGTAGGTGAACTATAAATCCCAGCAACTACAACTCCCAAATGACAAAATCAATGTTTTTGAGTGAAGGACATACATTGGGTTGTTAGGTGCCTTGTGTCCAAATTTGGTGTCAATTCGTCTAGTGCTTTTCGAGTTCTGTTAATCCCACAAACGAACATTACATTTTTATTTATATAGATAAGATATACACCAGTATTGTTGCTGTTGTTCATTCATTTAATTGCTTCTGACTCTTCGTGACCTCCTGGATCATCCCATGCCAGAGCTCCCGATCGGCCGTCACCACCCCCAGCTCCTTCAAGGTCAGTCCAGTCGCTTCAAGGATGCCATCCTTCCATCTTGCCCTTGGTCGGCCCCTCTTCCTTTTGCCTTCCACTTTCCCCAGCATCATTCCCTTCTCTAGGCTTTCCTGTCTCCTCATGATGTGGCCAAAGGACTTCTACTTTGTCTCTAGTCTCCTTCCCTCCAGTGAGCAGCCAGGCTTTCTTTCCTGGAGGATGGACTGGTTGGATCTTCTCGCAGTCCAAGGCACTCTCAGCACTTTCCTCCAACACCACAGCTCAAAAGCATCTCTCTTCCTTCGCTCAGTCTTCCTTCTGGTCCAGCTCTCACATCCATAGGTGACTACAGGGAATACCATTGCTTTGACTATGCGGATCTTTGTTGCCAGTGTGATGTCTCTACTCTTCACTATTTTATCGAGATTGGACATTGCTCTCCTCCCAAGAAGGAAGCGTCTTCTGATTTCCTGGCCACAGTCTGCATCTGCAGTCATCTTTGCGCCTAGAAATACAAAGTCTGTCACGGCCTCCACATTTTCTCCCTCTATTTGCCAGTTGTCAATCATTCTTGTTGCCATAATCTTGGTTTTTTTGATGTTTAGCTGCAACCCAGCTTTTGCGCTTTCTTCTTTCACCTTGATTAGAAGGCTCCTCAGCTCCTCCTCGCTTTCGGCCATCAGAGTGGTGTCATCTGCATATCTGAGGTTGTTAATGTTTCTTCCAGCAATTTTCACCCCAGCTTTGCATTCATCCAGCCCCGCACATCCTCGCATGATGTGTTCTGCATACAAGTTAAAAAGGTTGGGTGAGAGGATGCAGCCTTGCCAGACGCCTTTCCCAATCTTGAACCAGTCTCCTGTTCCGTGGTCAGTTCTGACTGTTGTTCCTTGGTCCTTGTACAGATTCCTCAGGAGAGAGGGAAGGGGGCTTGGGATGCCCATCCCACCAAGAACTTGCCACAATTTATTATGATCCACACAGTCAAAGGCTTTAGAAGAGTCAATGCAACAGAAACAGATGTTTTTCTGAGACTCCCTGCCTTTCTCCATTTTCCAGCATCCGGATATTGGCAATCTGGTCTCTGGTTCCTCTGCCTTTTCTAAACCCAGCTTCAACATCTGGCAACTCTCGCTCCATGTCTTGCTGGAGTCTTCCTTGCAGGATCTTGAGCATTACCTTACTGGCATGATGAGAAATAAGGGCCACTGGTCGGAAGTTTGAGCAGTCTTCAGTGTTTCCCTTTTTTGGTATGGGGACATAAGTGGATTTTTTCCAGTCTGATGGCCATTCTTGTGTTTTCCATATTTGCTGGCAAATGGCATGCATCACCTTGACAGCATCATCTTTTAAGATTTTAAACTGTTCAGCTGGGATCCCGTCATCTCTTGCTGCCTTATTATATTATAGTATTATATTTTATCATTATTATTCCCTCCAGTATATTATTATTATTATTATTATTATTGAGAAACTACAAGTCGCTTCTGGTGTGAGAGAATTGGCCGTCTGCATGGACGTTACCCGGATGTTTGGATGGCCAGCAAGTCGGTGATTCCGGCCATGACATATTTACATTGCCAGGCCCCTTTAAGAATGTGAAGGGGCGGGGCCGAGAGTCAAGGTGGCGCGCAATATTCATAAGTAGGCGGGGCCAGTGGCATTCTTTCTCCCCCGCGAACCCTCAGCGCCGCTGACGTCATCACGCCGCCTTGGAAGCCGTGGCGGGAAAGTGTTGGGCTTCCCTGAGGCGCCAACATGGCCGAGGCCGAGGAGGAAGCCGGGCTGGAGTCAGAGGGCGAGGAGGTGGTGCTCACCCCGGCCCAGCTCATCCAACACCTGGAGCAGGTGAGCCCAGGCGGCCCTTGGGGGAACTACAACTCCCAGGACACTTCCCCTTCAATTATGGCAGGCCCAGGACCCCCCTCCCCCTTCCCAAACACCTCCCACAAAGGTGGCCACTTTATTTCACTGTCTACCATGAGTTTCCCCATCAGCGGGACATGGTCTTTGGGAATACTACAACTCCCAGACTCCCAGCCTTTAGCAATTTTTTTTTTGAAACATACTACAACTCCCACAATTCCCCCATCCAACTCCCAGAATCCCTCCCAAAACTTATTTAGATGGAGTAGAACTCTGTTTGGGAATACTACAACTCCCACAATCCCCTCCCCATCAGCAATTTTTTTGAAACACACTGCAACTCCCACAATTCCCCCATTCAACTCCCAGAATCCCTCCCAAAACTTATTTAGATGGAGTAGAACTCTGTTTGGGAATACTACAACTCCCACAATCCCCTCCCTCATCAGCAATTTTTTTGAAACACACTGCAATTCCCACAATTTCCCCATTCAACTCCCAGAATTCTTCCCATAACTTATTTGGATGGAGTAGAACTCTGTTTGGGAATACTACAACTCCCACAATCCCCTCCCTCATCAGCAATTTTTTTGAAACACACTGCAATTCCCACAATTTCCCCATTCAACTCCCAGAATTCTTCCCATAACTTATTTGGATGGAGTAGAACTCTGTTTGGGAATACTACAACTCCCACAATCCCCTCCCTCATCAGCAATTTTTTTTGAAACACACTGCAATTCCCACAATTTCCCCATTCAACTCCCAGAATTCTTCCCATAACTTATTTGGATGGAGTAGAACTCTGTTTGGGAATACTACAACTCCCACAATCCCCTCCCCATCAGCAATTTTTTTGAAACACACTGCAACTCCCACAATTCCCCCATTCAACTCCCAGAATCCCTCCCAAAACTTATTTAGATGGAGTAGAACTCTGTTTGGGAATACTACAACTCCCACAATCCCCTCCCCATCAGCAATTTTTTTGAAACACACTGCAACTCCCACAATTCCCCATTCAACTCCCAGAATCCCTCCCAAAACTTATTTAGATGGAGTAGAACTCTGTTTGGGAATACTACAACTCCCACAATCCCCTCCCCATCAGCAATTTTTTTGAAACACACTGCAACTCCCACAATTCCCCCATTCAACTCCCAGAATCCCTCCCAAAACTTATTTAGATGGAGTAGAACTCTGTTTGGGAATACTACAACTCCCACAATCCCCTCCCCATCAGCAATTTTTTTGAAACACACTGCAACTCCCACAATTCCCCCATTCAACTCCCAGAATCCCTCCCAAAACTTATTTAGATGGAGTAGAACTCTGTTTGGGAATACTACAACTCCCACAATCCCCTCCCCATCAGCAATTTTTTTGAAACACACTGCAACTCCCACAATTCCCCCATTCAACTCCCAGAATCCCTCCCAAAACTTATTTAGATGGAGTAGAACTCTGCTTGGGAATACTACAACTCCCACAATCCCCTCCCCATCAGCAATTTTTTTGAAACACACTGCAACTCCCACAATTCCCCCATTCAACTCCCAGAATCCCTCCCAAAACTTATTTAGATGGAGTAGAACTCTGTTTGGGAATACTACAACTCCCACAATCCCCTCCCTCATCAGCAATTTTTTTGAAACACACTGCAATTCCCACAATTTCCCCATTCAGCTCCCAGAATTCTTCCCATAACTTATTTGGATGGAGTAGAACTCTGAGAAGACCCAGATCAGCAGAGCATACTACAAATCCCATTCGTTCAGGGTTTCTCCGCCTTCCTAATGCCACCAGCCCTTCACACATTGTTATTATCTATATAAATAAAAATGTAATGCTCGTTTGTGGGATTAACAGAACTCAAAAACCACTGGACACAAGATACCTCTCAGGTCAATGAGTGACCATCACTTAAAAAAATTGATTTTGTCATTTGGGAGTTGTAGTTGCTGGAATGTATAGTTCACCTACAATCAAAGAACATTCTGAACCCCACCAACGATGGAATTGAATGAGGCCTGGCCACACAGTTCTCCCATGACCAACAGAAAGGGTTTGGTGGGCGTTGAGCTTGAGTTTGGGAATTGTAGTTCACCTACATCCAGAGAGAACTGTGGACTCAAACAATGATGGATCTGGACCAAACTCTACACGAATACTCAATATGCCCAAATGTGAACACTGGTGGAGTTTGAGGAAAATAGAATCTTGACATTTGGGAGTTGTAGTTGCAGGGATTTATAGTTCACCTACCTTCAGAGCATTCTGAACCCCACCAGATGGAATTGAACCAAACTTGGCACACAGTTCTCCCATGACCAACAGAAAATACTGGAAGGTTTGGTGGGCAGTGTCCTTTGGTTTTGGAGTTGTAGTTCACCTACATCCAGAGATCACTGTGGACTCAAACTATGATGGATCTGGACCAAACTCTACGCGAATACTCATTATGCCCAAATGTGAACACTGGTGGAATTTGGGGAAAATATAATCTTGACATTTGGGAATTGTAGTTGCTGGAATGTATAGTTCACCTACAATCAAAGAACATTCTGAACCCCACCAACGATGGAATTGAATGAGGCCTGGCCACACAGTTCTCCCATGACCAACAGAAAGGGTTTGGTGGGCGTTGAGCTTGAGTTTGGGAATTGTAGTTCACCTACATCCAGAGAGCACTGTGGACTCAAACAATGATGGATCTGGACCAAACTTGGCACAAATGCTCAATATGCCCAAATGTGAACACTGGTGGAGTTTGGGGAAAATAGACCTTGACATTTGGGAGTTGTAGTTGCTGGGATTTATAGTTCACCTACAATCAAAGAGCATTCTGAACCCTACCAACGATGGAATTGAATCAAACTTGGCACACAGTTCTCCCATGACCAACAGAAAATACTGGAAGGGTTTGGTGGGCAGTGTCCTTTGGTTTTGGAGTTGTAGTTCGCCTACATCCAGAGATCACTGTGGACTCAAACTATGATGGATCTGGACCAAACTCTACGCGAATACTCATTATGCCCAAATGTGAACACTGGTGGAATTTGGGGAAAATATAATCTTGACATTTGGGAATTGTAGTTGCTGGGATTTATAGTTCACCTACAATCAAAGAGCACTCTGAACCCCACCAAGGATGGAATTGAACCAAACTTAGCACACAGTTCTCCCATGACCAACAGAAAATACTGGAAGGGTTTGGTGGGCAGTGTTCCGTTGCTTTTGGAGTTGTAGTTCACCTACATCCAGAGAGCACTGTGGACTCAAACAATGATGGATCTGGACCAAACTTGGCACAAATATTCCATATTTCCAAATATGTCTCACAGCCACCATGCCGGAACACAATGCTGGACCACTCTCACAACCAGTATTAAAAAAACTCTAAAATTACAACAGCACATTCACATTGAAACATTCACACCTGGCTCCAGCAGACAAGAGTCCTTTGTCTCACCCTGGTCATTCCACAGATCTATAAACCCTTTTTCCTAGTTCCAACAGACCTCACTACTTCTGAGGATGCTTGCCATAGATGTAGGAGAAACGTCAGGAGAGAATGCCTCTAGAACATGGCCATATAGCCCGAAAAAAACTACAACAACCCTATATTATGATTGTTGTTATTATTATTGTTGTTGTTTGAATGGAATGCAATTCCCAAAAGCAACCCCTACCCCCAACAGCATGGCTGGTTATTTAGGCACACTACAACTCCCAGAATCCTTCCCACCGGTGTGTCTCATCATCTGGGCCATCTCCAAGATTTTTGCTGTCTCTTTCCAGGCTTGGATGAATGAGAAGTTTTCCCCTGAGCTGCTGGAGAGCAAATCGGAAATCGTGGAGTGCGTCATTGAGCAGCTGGAGCACATGGTGAGAGAGAAGAGCATATTAATAAAAATGCACAGATGTAAATGGCCAGCTATGTTGCATCATATTATTATTATTATTATTATTATTATTATTATTATTACTAGCTGTTTCCTGGCCATGTGTTGCTGTGGCCTAGTTTGGTGGAGCTGCTGTTGCAATCTATCCAGGCAAATAGGCTTCCTCTTTTGTAAGAACATCCTTCCTGTGTTATTATTATTTACTAAATATAATTATATTTATTCATATATATATATATATATATATTCATCTCTTAAGTGAGACTATCTCCTATGCAAGTGTGGAGCTGCGGTCCCAATCTATCTGGGCAAATAGCCTTCCTTTTTTGTAGCAACGTCCTTCCTGTATTATTATTATTATTATTATTATTATTATTTATTTATTTATTTATTTATTTATTTAATACACTTGTATACCGCTAATATCTCAGCCTAAGTCGGCGACTCATTGCGGTTTACAACAATTAAAAACAATATACAATTTAAAACAACAACACATAGACAATACAAATTATTGGGCCACCAATAATAATACCATGTATCTCGTCACTAAAATCACAGTCCAGAATTCGTCATCCATAATTAACCAGTCCTTAGTCCATAAAATTCGGTGATAACAAACTAACCGAATGCTTGTTTACACAACCATGTTTTTAATCTCTTCCGAAACACCATCAGCGAAGAGGCTGATCGTATCTCTATAGGGAGGGTGTTCCAAAGCCGAGGGGCCACCACAGAAAAGGCCCTGTCTCTCGTTCCCACCAGCCGCACTTGGGAAGCCGGTGGGATAGAGAGCAGGGACTCTCCAGAAGATCTAAGGGTCCTGGTGGGCTGATAGGCTGAGATACGTTCGGATAGATAAGTTGGGCCAGAACCGTTTAGGGCTTTAAAGGCCAAAACCAGCACTTTGAATTGAGCCCGGTAGCATATCGGCAGCCAGTGGAGCTGGTGCAGCAGAGGAGTTGTGTGCTCCAGCGCCCCGCTCCTGTTAGTACCATGGCTGCCGCCCGTTGGACTAGTTGGAGCTTCCGGGCTGTCTTCAAAGGCAACCCCACGTAGAGAGCGTTGCAGTAATCAAGGTGGGATGTAACCAGAGCGTGGACTACCGTGGCTAAGTCAGACTTCCCAATTTGATTATATTTCCTTGTATTTATATTCCTCTCTTAAGTGATATTTTTCTCCTATGCAAGTGTGGAGCTGCTGTCCCAATCTCTCCGGGCAAATAGGCTTCCTCTTTTGTAAGAATATCCTTCCTATATTGTTATTATTATTGTTATTATTATTACTATTATTATTATTTACCAAATTTAATTCTATTTCCTTGTATTTATAATCCTCTCTTAAGTGTTATTTTCTCCTATGCAAGAGTGGACCTGCTGTCCCAATCTATCCAGGCAAATAGCCTTCCTTTTTTGTAGCAACGTCCTTCCTGTATTATTATTATTATTATTATTATTATTATTATTATTATTATTATTTACTCAATTTGATTATATTTCCTTGTATTTATATTCCTCTCTTAAGTGATATTTTTCTCCTATGCAAGTGTGGAGCTGCTGTCCCAATCTCTCCGGGCAAATAGGCTTCCTCTTTTGTAAGAATATCCTTCCTATATTGTTATTATTATTGTTATTATTATTACTATTATTATTATTTACCAAATTTAATTCTATTTCCTTGTATTTATAATCCTCTCTTAAGTGTTATTTTCTCCTATGCAAGAGTGGACCTGCTGTCCCAATCTATCCAGGCAAATAGCCTTCCTTTTTTGTAGCAACGTCCTTCCTATATTGTTATTATTATTGTTATTATTATTATTATTATTATTATTTACCAAATTTAATTCTATTTCCTTGTATTTATATTCCTCTCTTAAGTGAGATTTCCTCCTATGCAAGTGTGGGACTGCTGTTGCAATCTATCCGGGCAAATAGCCTTCCTCTTTTGTAGCAACGTCCTTCCTGTATTATTATTATTATTATTATTATTATTATTTACTCAATTTGATTATATTTCCTTGTATTTATATTCCTCTCTTAAGTGAGATTTCCTCCTATGCAAGTGTGGGACTGCTGTTGCAATCTATCCAGGCAAATAGCCTTCCTCTTTTGTAGCAACGTCCTTCCTGTATTATTATTATTATTATTATTATTGTTATTATTATTATTATTTACTAAATTTAATTATATTTTCTTGTATTTATATTCCTCTCTTAAGTGAGATTTTCTCCTATGCAAGTGTGAGATGCTGTCCCAATCTATGTGGGCAAATAGCCTTTTTCTTTTGTAGCAATGTCCTTCCTGTATTATTATTATTATTGGTATTATTATTATTATTTACTAAATTTAATTATATTTTCTTGTATTTATATTCCTCTCTTAAGTGAGATTTTCCCCTATGCAAGTGTGGGACTGCTGTTGCAATCTATCCGGGCAAATAGCCTTCCTCTTTTGTAGCAACGTCCTTCCTGTATTATTATTGTTACTATTATTATTATTTACTAAATTTAATTATATTTCCTTGTATTTATATTCCTCTCTTAAGTGAGATTTTCTCTTATGCAAGTGTGGAGATGCTGTCCCAATCTATCCAGGCAAATAGCCTTCCTCTTTTGTAGCAACGTCCTTCCTGTATTATTATTATTATTATTATTATTATTATTATTATTATTATTTACTCAATGCAATTATATTTCCTTGTATTTATATTCCTCTCCTCAGTGAGATTTTCTCCTATGCAAGTGTGGGACTGCTGTTGCAATCTATCCGGGCAAATAGCCTTCCTCTTTTGTAGCAACGTCCTTCCTGTATTATTATTATTATTATTATTATTATTATTATTATTTACTAAATGCAATTATATTTCCTTGTATTTATATTTCTCTCCTCAGTGAGATTTTCTCCTATGCAAGTGTGGGACTGCTGTTGCAATCTATCAGGGCAAATAGCCTTCCTCTTTTGTAGCAACGTCCTTCCTGTATTATTATTATTGTTACTATTATTATTATTTACTAAATTTAATTATATTTCCTTGTATTTATATTCCTCTCTTAAGTGAGATTTTCTCTTATGCAAGTGTGGAGATGCTGTCCCAATCTATCCAGGCAAATAGCCTTCCTCTTCTGTAGCAACGTCCTTCCTGTATTATTATTATTATTATTATTATTATTATTATTATTATTATTTACTAAATGCAATTATATTTCCTTGTATTTATATTTCTCTCCTCAGTGAGATTTTCTCCTATGCAAGTGTGGGACTGCTGTTGCAATCTATCAGGGCAAATAGGCTTCCTCTTTTGTAGCAACCTCCTTCCTGTATTATTATTATTGTTACTATTATTATTATTTACTAAATTTAATTATATTTCCTTGTATTTATATTCCTCTCTTAAGTGAGATTTTCTCTTATGCAAGTGTGGAGATGCTGTCCCAATCTATCCAGGCAAATAGCCTTCCTCTTCTGTAGCAACGTCCTTCCTGTATTATTATTATTATTATTATTATTATTATTTACTAAATGCAATTATATTTCCTTGTATTTATATTCCTCTCTTAAGTGAGATTTTCTCCTATGCAAGTGTGGAGCTGTTCTTGCAATCTATCCAGCAAATAGCCTTCCTCTTTTGTAGCAACGTCCTTCCTGTATTATTATTATTATTATTTTTATTATTATTATTATTTACTAAATGCAATTATATTTCCTTGTATTTATATTCCTCTCTTAAGTGAGATTTTCTCCTATGCAAGTGTGGAGCTGCTCTTGCAATCTATCCGGGCAAATAGTTCTTCCTCCCGGGTCAGGATGTCCTTCCTGCCTTTGCAAAACCCCTTTGCTTGTGTGTCTTTGCAGGAGGAGAACCTGAAGCGCACCAAAGGAGGGGACCTGAAGGCCAGCATCCACCGCATGGAAGTGGAGAGGATCCGCTACGTCCTCAGCAGCTATTTGCGCAGTCGGATCCGAAAGGTCTTTCCGTCATTTATTCCCTTCGTTGCCGTCCTTTGTCTCTAGGCCATCTTTCTGCCCTCATATGGATGCCTTTGTGGTTCTGTATCATATCTATATCAGTGTTGTTGGGCAAGTGGGCTTATTAGCAAAAGACCCTCCTCATAAATGCGGAGCAGAGTGATCTGTCGTATCAGAGTCACCTCTGGCTTTAAACACCACACGAGCTGGGAAAAATCAGCAAGCAGTTTATTGAGAATATAAAAATCGAAAACATGCAAATGTGAGTAGATCAATAGGTACCCCTCCAGTGGAAAGGTAACTGCGCTCCATGCAGTCATGCCAGCCACATGACCTTGGAGGAGTCTATGGACAATGCCAGCTCTTCGGCTTAGAAATGGCGACGAGCACCAGAGTTATTATAGAACCCTAAACTGGAAGAGACCCCAAAGGCCATGTGGGAGCACACAATCAAAGCACTCCTGAGAGATAGCCAACAGCCTCTGCTTAAAATTCCACCATCCCAATTTAGTGAACGGTCACTTTGGAAATGTGGATACTCCTAACGTCTGTGTTGATGCACCCAGTGCTCTTCGCTCTTCTTCCCCCTTCACCCGATGATGCTTCGCCCTTCTCCTCTTTATTTTCTCTTTAGATTGAGAAATATTTCCCGCACGTCCTGGAAAAAGAGAAGACACGGACGGAGGGAGAGCCCTCCATCCTCTCTCCAGAAGAGTTCGCTTTCGCCAAAGAGTGAGTGAATGAAGACTCGTTCGTTTCGATCAGCGTTTCTCAACCTGTGCTTCAAGACCCCTGGGGTCCTCCACTCTGATTGGCCAGCCTCTCAGCCAAGGGGAGGGCTGTTTCTGAGAATCCAAGCCGGAGGGGGGGGGGGGGGTGAGCAGTCATGCTCGGCGCATGGTAGCGTGGTACACATGTGTGGGCGAGGGAGAGCAGCCGAGGTTGGAGGGAGGCTCACGTCAGCTGGGGCATTCTGTGTGGGAAATTTGGTCCAATTCTATCATCGGTGGGGTTCAGAATACTCTGATTGTAGGTGAACTATAAATCCCAGCAACTACAAATCCCAAATGTCAAGGTTTATTTTCCCCAAACTGCGCCAGTGTTCACACTTGGGCATACTGAGTATTGGTGCCAATTTTGGTCCAGATCCATCATTGTTTGAGTCCACAGTGCTCTCTGGATGTAGGTGAACTACAACTCCCAAACTCAAACCCATCCAATATTTTCTGTTGGCCATGGGAGTTCTGTGTGCCAAGTTTGGCCCAATTCCATCATTAATGGAGTTCAGAATTCTCTTTGATTGTAGGTGAACTATAAATCCCAGCAACTACAACTCCCAAATGTCAAGATTCTATTTCCCCAAACTCCACCAGTGTTCACATTTAGGCATATTGAGTATTCCTGTAGAGTTTGGTCCAGATCCATCATTGTTTGAGTCCACAGCGATCTTGGGATGTAGGTGTACTACAACTCCAGAATGAAAGGACACTGTCCACCAAACCCTTCCAGTGTTTTCTGTGGGCCGTGGGAGTTTTGTGTGCCAAGTTTGGTTCAATTATATCATTGGTGGAGTTCAAAATGCTCTGTGGTTGTAGGGGAACTATAAATCCCAGCAACTGCAACTCCCAAATGTCAAGGTCTATTTCCCCCAAACTCCTCCAGTGTTCACATTGGAGCATATTGAGTGTCTGTGCCAAGTTTGGTCCAGATCCATCCTTGTCTTAGTCCACAGTGCTTCTCTGCATGTACATGAACTACAACTCCCCAATGTGAAGGTCAATGCCCACCAAACCCTTCCAGTGTTTTCTGTGGGCCGTGGGAGTTTTGTGTGCCAAGTTTGGTTCAATTCCATCATTGGTGGAGTTCAAAATGCTCTGTGGTTGTAGGGGAACTATAAATCCCAGCAACTCCAACTCCCAAATGTCAAGGTTTGGATCAATTCCATTGTTGGTGGAGTTCAAAATGCTCTGTGGTTGTAGGGGAACTCTTAATCACAGCAACTACAACTCCCAAAGGACAAAATCCCTGAAACAGACCTAAGAAACAAATGCTGGAAGTTGTAGTTTCACAAGCGCTTTGCCCTTCTCTGTCAAGGAGGACTGGTGCCTCACCAAACTATAACTCCCAAGATTCAATAGCCTTGAGACATGGATGCTAAAGTGGTGTCAAATTGAATTAATTTTCAGTGTAGATACACCCTCAAGAAGACTCCTTGAAGGTAACTATGGTCTTCCTGTCTTTCTTTCTTTCTTTCTTTCTTTCTTTCTTTCTTTCTTTCTTTCTTTCTTTCTTTCTTTCTTTCTTTCTTTCTTTCTTTCTTTCCAGGTACATGGCCAACACAGAGGCCCATCTCAAAAATGTGGCTCTGAAGCACATGCCTCCAAACCTACAGAAGGTGGACCTCCTCAAAATAGGTAGGGAAGCCTTGCTTGTGTAGTTGTTGTTGTTGTTGTTGTTGTTGTTGTTGTTATTGTTGTTATTGTTATTATTGTTATTAGCTGTAACCACCGCGCGTTGCTGTGGCCAACCTTCCATCCCTCTTTCTCTCCTTTCTTCCCCTTTTTTCTTTTCTGCTCTTCTTCCTTCCTTCCTTCCTTCCTTCCTTCCTTCCTTCCTTCCTTCCTTTCTCTTCTCTTCCTTTTCCTTTCCTTTCCTTCTCCCTTTCCTCCCCCTTTCCTTCCCTTCCTTCCTTTCTTTCTTCTTCTTCTTTTCCTTCTCTCTTCCCCTTTTCTTTCCTTCTCTCCTTCCTTCTTCCCTTCTCTTCCCTTCCTTCCCCCTTTCCTTTCCTTCCCACTATCTCTTCTTTCTTTCTCTCCTTCTCTATTCTTTCCTTCACCCCTTCCCTTTTTTCTTTCCTTCCCTCCTTTCTTCTTTCCTTCTTCCCTTCCTTCCCCCTTTTCTTTCCTTCCCACTATCTCTTCTTTCTTTCTCTCCTTCCCTTTATTCTTTCCTTCACCCCTTCCCTTTTTTATTTCCTTCCTTCCTTCCTTCCTTCCTTCCTTCCTTCCTTCCTTCTTTCCTTCTCTTCCTCTTCCCTTCCTTCCCCCTTTCCTTCCCACTTTCTCTTCTTTCTTTCTTTCTTTCTTTCTTTCTTTCTTTCTTTCTTTCTTTCTTTCTTTCTCTCCTTCCTTCTTTCCTTCTCTTCTTCTTCCCTTCCTTCCCCCCTTTTCTTTCCTTCCCACTTCCTTTTCTTTCTCTTTCTTTCTTTCTTTCTTTCTTTCTTTCTTTCTTTCTTTCTCTCCTTCCTTTTTTTCTTTCCTTCTCTCCTTCCTTCCTTCTCTTTCCTTCCTTCCCTCTTTTCTTTCCTTCCCACTTTCTCTTTCTTTCTTTCTTCCTTTCTTATTCTCTTTTTCCCTTTTTTCTTTCCTTCTCTCCTTCCTTCTTTTCTTCTCTTCCTCTTCCCTTCCTTCCCCCTTTTCTTTCCTTCCCACTTTCTCTTTCTTTCTTTCTTCCTTTCTTATTCTCTTTTTCCCTTTTTTCTTTCCTTCTCTCCTTCCTTCTTTTCTTCTCTTCCTCTTCCCTTCCTTCCCCCTTTTCTTTCCTTCCCACTTTCTCTTCTTTCTTTCTCTCCTTCCCTTTTTTCTTTCCTTCTCTTCGTCTTCCTTCCTTCCCCCCTTTTCTTTCCCTTCCTCTTTCTCCCCTTTCTCCCTTCTCTACCTATTCTTGGACTGCAACTCCCAGCAGTCCTCCTAATCAGTCTATCTACCTACCTATCTATCTCCATCTAATCTATCTACCTGGAGGATTGTTGGGAGTTGTAGTCCAGGAATAGGAAATTGGGAATATGCCGGGATTGGGATGCTCTCAAAGAGATCCAAGGAGAAGAAAGCTTGCCTCTTGGAAGCAGTGCATTTGGAGCATCTTACTCTCCTAAAGGGCCTGGTCTAGGAGATATAGTCCGGAAGAGAGTGTGGGTATGCTACTGTGTGTTTTGTTTGCCAGGGGGAGTTGTTTTTGGGCATGCGCAGTTGTGTCTTTTTGCTCTTTTGGCTTTTTAAATCCCTTCTATTGCGTTTTTTCCAGTGTTTTTATGAGTGACGGTCACTTGTTGGCCTGAGAGGGGTCTTGTGTCCAAATTTGGTGTCAATTCGTCCAGTGTTTTTTGAGTTCTGTTCATCCCACAAACAAACATTACATTTCTATTTATATAGAAACTAACCATCCCCTGCCACATGTTGCTGTGGCCCAGTCTATGTATATGTGTGTTTGTGTGTGTGTGTGGTATTGCAAATGCGCTGGAATGTATTTTTTTTTTTGTCTTTTAAAGTCTCTTCTGCGGTGTTTTCTAGTGTTTTATGAGTGAAGGACATACGTTGGGTTGTTAGGTGTCTTGTGTCCAATTTTGGTGTCAATTCGTCCAGTGATTTTTGAGTTCTGTTAATCCCACAAACGAACATTGCATTGTTATGTATATAGAAACTAGCCATCCTCTGCCACACGTTGCTGTGGCCCAGTCTGTGTACATGTGTTTTGTCTGTGTATATGTGTGTGTGTGTGTGTGTATGGTTTTGTGAATGTGTTAAAATGTAATTTTTTTTGGCTTTTTAAAGTCTCTTCCGCTGTGTTTTTCAGTGTTTTTATGAGTGATGGTCACTTGTTGGCCTGAGAGGTGTCTTGTGTCCAAATTTGGCGGCAATTCGTCCAGTGGATTTTGAGTTCTGTTAATCCCACAAACGAACATTATCTTTTTATTTATATAGATTACTAAACTAGCCGTCCCCTGCCACACATTGCTGTTGCCCATTCTGGGTATATGTGTTTTGTATGGGTATATATTTGTATATATGTGTGTTTGTGTGTGTATGGTATTGCGCATGAGTTGTAATGTATTTTTAAAATTGCTTTTTAAGCCTCTTCCGCTGTGTTTTCTAGTGTTTTATGAGTGAAGGACATACGTTGGGTTGTTAGGTGTCTTGTGTCCAAATTTGGTGTCAATTCGTCCAGTGGTTTTTGAGTTCTGTTAATCCCACAAACGAACATGACATTTTTATTTATATAGACTAGTCGTCCCCTGCCACGCCTTGCTGTGGCCCACATGGGGGTTCTGTGTGGGAGGTTTGGCCCAATTCTATCGTTGGTGAGGTTCAGAATGCTCTTTAACTGTAGGTGAACTATAAATCCCAGCAACTACAACTCCCAAATGTCAAGATTCTATTTCCCCCAAATTCCACCAGTGTTCACATTTGGGCATATTGAGTATTCTTGTAGAGTTTGATCCAGATCCATCATTGTTTGGTGGGGTTCAGAATGCTCTTTGATTGTAGGTGAACTATAAATCCCAGCAACTACAACTCCCAAATGTCAAGATTCTATTTCCCCCAAATTCCACCAGTGTTCACATTTGGGCATATTGAGTATTCTTGTAGAGTTTGGTCCAGATCCATCATTGTTTGGTGGGGTTCAGAATGCTCTTTGATTGTAGGTGAACTATAAATCCCAGCAACTACAACTCCCAAATGTCAAGATTCTATTTCCCCCAAATTCCACCAGTGTTCACATTTGGGCATATTGAGTATTCTTGTAGAGTTTGGTCCAGATCCATCATTGTTTGGTGGGGTTCAGAATGCTCTTTGATTGTAGGTGAACTATAAATCCCAGCAACTACAACTCCCAAATGTCAAGATTCTATTTCCCCCAAATTCCACCAGTGTTCACATTTGGGCATATTGAGTATTCTTGTAGAGTTTGATCCAGATCCATCATTGTTTGGTGGGGTTCAGAATGCTCTTTGATTGTAGGTGAACTATAAATCCCAGCAACTACAACTCCCAAATGTCAAAGATTCTATTTCCCCCAAACTCCACCAGTGTTCACATTGGGCATATTGAGTATTCTTGTAGAGTTTGATCCAGATCCATCATTGTTTGGTGGGGTTCAGAATGCTCTTTGATTGTAGGTGAACTATAAATCCCAGCAACTACAACTCCCAAATGTCAAGATTCTATTTCCCCCAAATTCCACCAGTGTTCACATTTGGGCATATTGAGTATTCTTGTAGAGTTTGGTCCAGATCCATCATTGTTTGGTGGGGTTCAGAATGTAGGTGAACTATAAATCCCAGCAACTACAACTCCCAAATGTCAAGATTCTATTTCCCCCAAATTCCACCAGTGTTCACATTTGGGCATATTGAGTATTCTTGTAGAGTTTGGTCCAGATCCATCATTGTTTGGTGGGGTTCAGAATGCTCTTTGATTGTAGGTGAACTATAAATCCCAGCAACTACAACTCCCAAATGTCAAGATTCTATTTCCCCCAAATTCCACCAGTGTTCACATTTGAGCATATTGAGTATTCTTGTAGAGTTTGGTCCAGATCCATCATTGTTTGGTGGGGTTCAGAATGCTCTTTGATTGTAGGTGAACTATAAATCCCAGCAACTACAACTCCCAAATGTCAAGATTCTATTTCCCCCAAATTCCACCAGTGTTCACATTTGGGCATATTAAGTATTCTTGTAGAGTTTGGTCCAGATCCATCATTGTTTGGTGGGGTTCAGAATGCTCTTTGATTGTAGGTGAACTATAAATCCCAGCAACTACAACTCCCAAATGTCAAGATTCTATTTTCCCCCAAACTCCACCAGTGTTCACATTTGGGCATATTGAGTATTCTTGTAGAGTTTGGTCCAGATCCATCATTGTTTGAGTCCACAGTGCTCTCTGGATGTAGGTGAACTACAACTCCAAAACCAAAGGACACTGCCCACCAAACCCTTCCAGTATTTTCTGTTGGTCATGGGAGAACTGTGTGCCAAGTTTGGTTCAATTCAATCGTGGGGTTCAGAATGCTCTTTGATTGTAGGTGAACTATAAATCCCAGCAACTACAACTTTCAAATGACAAAATCAATTTTTTGAGTGATGGTCACTCCTTGGGTTGTTAGGTGTCTTGTGTCCAAATTTGGTGTCAATTCATCCAGTGGTTTGTGAGTTACGTTAATCGCACAAACATATTTTTATTTCTATAGATTATTATTAATATTTCCTTATTAATTCTTGCCATTAGTTTGTGCTCAGCTTTTGTTTCTGGATCGAGACCCAAAGTGGGTCGCAACCTTAAAAGCAATACAAAAGAATCAATATCAAAACAGACGTCAATATAGTCCTGTTTGGAGAGTCAACGCAACGGAATCCGCCTGGGCCTCCTTTTGAGAGAGACGCTCTTCCCTTTGTCTTTTCTTTGCAGTCCCCAAACCAAACCTGGACGCCTTTGTGTTCCTGCGAGTGAAGGAGAGGCAGGAGAACATCCTGGTGGAGCCAGAGACGGATGAGCAGAGGTAGGGAAGGCCGGCCAGCCACCAAGCTTGCCCAATTCCGCCGCCTCACATCCTCCAGGAAAGGGGAGCAAAGGCTGGGCAGCTATCTGTCAAGAGGGCTTGGGTTGTGTCTTCCTGCCTGGCAGAAGGGAGTTGGGCTAGATGACCTTTGGGGGTCTCTTCCAACTCTAAGATTCTATGGGTCATCCTCCAGAACAAATAGAGTGCTTCCATGACCCAAAATCCAGAGATGTTGAAGTCATGTGATACACAATCTATAGGTATAAAAATGCTCTGTGCATAATGAGTACATTAAAAACAAAAAACCTATGGGGCCAAATTACCCCAAATTTGGCAACAAAACTCCTCACAATCCAAGGAGTGGATTATATGGCAGTGTAGACACACACACACACACATGGATGGATGTTGGATCACTGGTTGGTGTGTGTGTGTATACACACAATACCTTATATATTATATACATTGCTATATAATACATATATATTATATAATATATATTATTACATTGCTGTATAATACATATATTATATTATATGCATTGCTATATAATACATATTATATTATATACATTGCTATATAATACATATATATTATATGATATATATTATTACATTGCTGTATAATACATATATTATATTATATGCATTGCTATATAATACATATTATATTATATACATTGCTATATAATACATATATATTATATTATATATATTATTACATTGCTATATAATATATATTATATTATATACATTGCTACATAATACATATATATTGTATATGTATATTATTACATTGCTGTATAATACATATATATGCATTATATACATTGCTATATAATACATATATATTATATATATTATTACATTGCTATATGATACATATATATTATATTATATACATTGCTATATAATACATATATATTATATATATATATTATTACATTGCTGTATAATACATATATTATATTATATGCATTGCTATATAATACATATTATATTATATACATTGCTATATAATACATATATATTATATTATATATATTATTACATTGCTATATAATATATATTATATTATATACATTGCTACATAATACATATATATTGTATATGTATATTATTACATTGCTGTATAATACATATATATACATTATATACATTGCTATATAATACATATATATTATATATATTATTACATTGCTATATAATACATATATATACATTATATACATTGCTATATAATACATATATATTATATATATTATTACATTGCTATATAATACATATATATTATATCATATACATTGCTATATAATACATATATATTATATTATATACATTGCTATATAATACATATATATCATATTATATACATTGCTATATAATACATATATATTATATATATTATTGTTATATATACTACTATATAATATAATGTTAGAATAGAGTTAGAAGGGACTCTACCATGGTATTGGGGGAGAACAGACAGGAAGGAAGGAGAGAAGAAAAAGGGAAGGAATGAAGGAGGAAAAGTGGGAAGAAAGGAAGGAAAGAGAGAAGGAAAGAGGGAAGGAAAGAGAGAAGGAAGGAAAGAAAGAGGTAGTGAAGGAAGGAAGAAGAGAAAGTAGAAAGGAAAGAAAAGGGAGGGAAATGCAGGAAAGAGGTAAAGAAAGAAGGAAGGAGAAAAGGAAATAAAAAGTGAAAGAAGGAAGGAAACAGGGAGGGAAGAAAGGAGACAAAGGAAGAAGTAGAGAAAGGGGAGGGAAGGAAGGAAAGAGAGAAGGAAGGATGAAACCAAAGAGCGAAAGAAGGAATGAAAGAAAGAGGTAGAGAAGGAAGAAAGGAGAGAAAGGGGAAGGGGAAGAAAAAAAAGGGGGGGGGAGGAATAGGTAGGTACCTCTCTTTCATAATAGTCCAGATATCTACCTCTGCTTCGAAAATTCTTACTATAGGCCACAGCAACGCGTGGCAGGGCACAGCTAGTGGCATTATAAAAAGGTAAACAACTCAAATTGAGGGACTTTGACATAGCCAAAGGGTTACAGAAGGGGATGCCTGCAGATCAATGTATTTTACTTTAGAGTAAAAGTCAAGGTTTCCCCTTGACATTAAGTCTAGTTGAGTCCAACTCTGGGACTCTGGTCCCTTTCTAAGCCAAAGAGCTGGCATTGTCCATAGACACCTCCAAAGTCATGTAGCCATGACTGCATGGAGTGCCGTTACCTTCCCCCCGGAGCCGTGCCTATTGATCTACTCACATTTCCATGTTTCCGAACTGCTAGGTTGGCAGAAACTGGGGCTGACAGTGGGAGCTCACCCTGGATTCAAACTGCCAACCTTTCGGTCAGCAAGTTTATTTATTTATTAATTATTTACAGTATTTATATTCCACCCTTCTCACCCCGCAGAGGACTCAGGGCAGATGACATTGTACATATACGTGGCAAACATTCAATGCCGTAGACGCACAACATATATAGACAGAGACACAGAGGCTATTTAACATTCCAGCTTTTGTCTTGAGGGTATTCTGGCCACCAGGGGAGCTGTCGCTTCACTATCCATTTGTGACACTGATGAAGTGCTTCCTCATTCTTTGCATTCTTGCTGGAGATTTTTATGGCATTGTAAATTAGCCTCACCACATAAGTGGTACCTAAATTTCCGACTTGACAGTTGTAACTATATTGTCGAAGGCTTTCATGGCCAGAATCACTGGGTTGTTGTAGGTTTTTTCGGGCTATATGGCCATGTTCTAGAGGCATTCTCTCCTGACGTTTCGCCTGCATCCATGGCAAGCATCCTCAGAGGTAGTGACTACAACTCCCACAATTCCTAACAGGCGAAACGTCAGGAGAGAATGCCTCTAGAACATGGCCATATAGCCCGAAAAAACCTACAACAACCCAATTGTAACTGTCTTTCAGGCTGCAAAGGTCAACAGCAAGCTACACAAATTGGTCGGAAGCTCACTCTGACCCGGGCCGGCTTCAAACTCATGACCTTTTGGTCAGTAGTGCTCTTAATGCAGCTGACTCCCAGCCAGCTGCGCCACAGTCTCAGTTCAGCAGCTCAGCGGTTTAATCCGCTGCAACACGAGGGGAACCATTTATTACTATTGTTATGATGCAAATGTGTATTTCTGTTGTATTAACTTTCTTGAAATTATACACTTTTCTACTTTAATTCACAAATATCAACTGTTCAATTGTCAAAAAAAGGTTTTTTTGCTCTTTGCTGCCCAAGTTCTATATTCCTGACCCATGTTTGGATGGTCTGTCTCTTTCAGCGAGTACGTGATTGACCTGGACGAGGACTCCCAGCACCTGATCCGGTACAAAACCATCGCTCCTTTGGTGGCTTCCGGGGCGGTCAAGCTCATTTGAAATGCAAGGAGAAGTGAAATACTGCAAATTTGGAGGGGAAAGGCTTGTTCCCAGTTCCCATCGATGTTTTCGCTTGCAAATATCCTTTTTCTGTCCTGCTGCAAAAAAAGAGGAAACCCTGCAATCCACCATATGACCAGCAGGTGGCACTAGACCTATTCTGACAATGGAAATTTATACATATTTCCATAACTTGGAGGCAATTACTTTTCTGGACTGCAGTTCCAATTAATAGTAACTTTTTCAAGGACGGACTTTTCTAGCCTACCAAGGCTCCCCTCGCGGTGGCTGGGGACAATGGAAGTTTCAGTCCACCCCATCAGAAGCCTTCTAGCGCATAGAGAAGGCGGCAAGGAACTGCATTGCCATCCCCATAATAAATAATAATATTCAACTCAAGCCATGGTGTTTTGCGGCTGAACTCTTTGCGCATGTGCGTAACATCTGGAAAAACGGGCGGATTTTTCAGAACTACAGAAAATATTTTGGAAAGCAACAAATAGTAGCTGGAACGTGCACAGAGCAAAATACACTATGTACAAGAGTGCCTTGTTTTCACTGACTGCTAAAATACCTTCTGGCTTTGACTCCGTTTCCTTTATAGGATGACAACATTTGAAAACGTGTGTATAGCTGGGGTGCCCACTTACGCAGACAGGCTCCCACCTCCACAAACAGCAGTATATTAGGAAGTATCATTATATTATTAGGAATATATAATATTATTATACTCTAAGGAATTTTATATATATAATATATAGGAAGAATATATAATATTATTAGGAATATATTATATTATTAGGAATTTTATATACATAATATATAGGAAGAATATATAATATTATTAGGAGTATTATATACATATATAGGAAGAATATAAAATATTAGGAATATATAATATTATATTATTAGGAATATTATATACATACCGGTAATATATAGGAAGAATATATAATATTAGGAATATGTAATATATAATTATATATACATAATATATATTACATATTCATAATATACGTAATATATAGGAAGAATATGTAATTTAATTATATTAGGAATATTATATATATAATATATAGGAAGAATATATAATATTAGGAATATGTAATATTATATTAGGAATATTATATACATAATATATAGGAAGAATATATAATATTATTAGGAATATATAATATTATTATATTATTAGGAATATTATACATATATAGAAAGAATATATAATATTAGGAATATATAATATTATATGATTAGGAATATTATATATATAATATATAGGAGGAATATATAATGTTATATTAGGAATATAATATACATAATATATAGGAAGAATATATAATATCATTAGGAATATATAATATTAGGAATGTATATTCTTAGGAATATTATATATATAATATATAGGAATAATATATAATATTAGGAATATATAATATATTCTCAGGAATATTATATATATAATATATAGGAATAATATATAATATTAGGAATATATAATATATTCTTAGGAATATTATATATATAATATATTGGAAGAATATATAATATTAGAAATATTATATACATAATATATAGGAAGAGGAGGAGAATATTATATACATAATATAGCGGAAGAATATATTATATTATTAGGAATATTATATATATATATATATATAATTAGGCAGTATATTAGAAAGTAGGCTCCCACTTCCATGAATAGCTCTAGCTCCCACCACTCAGGAGACACCAATGCCCCCCCCCCCCCCAAAATGACATTGCAGGTTAGAGTGAGCGCCACGGACATGTCCAAGAGCCCTGCCAATGCCCTGCACAAACACAATCCTGCCCACCATCCATTCACATGAGGACAATTTCATCCTAGATCTTATGTGTTTCCTCCACCACAGACATCCCAGTGTTCCTTACTCTCTCCATTGGTGTGGAATTTGCATGACCCCGCCCACTACCTCTCCCTTAACCCATTCCTATTATTTTCTATGTCACACAGCAAACACAGAGGAATTGATCAGAAACTGAACATACTAGAGAAGTTTGGGGAGAATTCACCATGATTTATAGGAGTTGTAGGTACTGGGATGTATAGTTCACCTGCAATCTAAGAGCACTCTGAACTCCACCAATGATAGACCTAGAGCTAACCTGGCACACAGGACACCCATGACTAACAAAAAATACTGGAGGTCTTTGGAGGGTTTAAAGGAGTTGTAGTTCACCTACATCCAGAGCGCACAATGAACTCAAACAAGGATGGATCTGGACTAAACTCGGCATGCATACCCAATATGCTCAAATTTGAATACTGGTGGATTTTGGGGGGAATTGGCCTGGACATTTTGGAGTTGTAGGTACTGGGATGTATAGTTCACCTGCAATCAGTGAGCACTGTGAAGGAGAGGAAAGTAGAGGAGGACAGAAAGAAGAGAGATGAGAGAAAAAGAAAAAAAAAAGGAGAAAGAGGAAAGGAGAAGAGAGGAAAAGTAAGAAAAGGAGAAGAGAAGAGATGAAAAAGAAGAGAAGGAAATGAGGAAAGAAAGAAGAGGGGGAGGACAGAAAGAGGAGAGGAGAAAGGAAAGAAAAAGGTGAGGAGAAAAAAAGGGTAGAGAAAAAGAAGGGAGAAGAGATGAAAGGAGAAGGGAAGAAAAGGGAAACAGGATAGAAGAGGGAAAGGAGAGGAGAAGAAAGGATTAGAAATGAGACGAGAAGAAAAGAGGAAAGGAGAGGAGAAGAAAGGAAAGAAGAGGGAAAGTAAAGGATGAGGACGAGAGGAAAAGGAAAGGAGAAGAAAGGTGATGAGAGAAGAAAGTGGAAGAAGGAAAATAGGAAAGGAGAGAAGAGGAAATGGAGTGAAAGAAAGGAGAGAAGAGGTAAAGAAAAGGAGAGAAAGAAACGGAAAGTAGAGGAGGAGGACAGGAGAGGAAAAGGAAAGGAGAAGAAAGGTGATGAGAGAAGAAAGAGAAGAGGAAAAGGAGAGGAGAAGAAGAAATAAGGGAAGAGAGGAAAAGAAAGAAGAGGAAAGTACAGAAGAGGATAGAAGAAAGAGGAGAGGAAGGGAAAGAAGAAAGAGAAGAAGATTAGAAATGAGAGAGGAATGGAGAGGAGAAGAAAGGAAAGAGAAAGAAGAGGAGAGGAGGACAGGAGAGGAAAAGGAAAGGTGATGAGAGAAGGAAGAGAAGAGGAAAAGGAGAGGAGAAGAATGAAGAAATGAGAGAAGAGAGGAAAAGAAAGAAGAGGAAAGTACAGAAGAGGGTAGAAGAAAGGAGAGAAAGAGAAGAAGAAGATTAGAAATGAGGAATGGAGTGGAGAAGAAGGGAAAGAAAGAAGAGGAAAGTGGGGAGGAGGACAGGAGAGGAAAAGTAAAGGAGAAGAAAGGTGATGAGAGAAGGAAGAGAAGAGCAAAAGGAGAGGAGAAGAAAGAAGAAATGAGAGAAGAGAGGAAAAGAAAGAAGAGGAAAGTACAGAAGAGGGTAGAAGAAAGAGGAGAGAAAGAGAAGAAGATTAGAAATGAGAGAGGAATGGAGAGGAGAAGAAGGGAAAGAGAAAAGAGGAAAGTGGAGGAGGACAGGAGAGGAAAAGGAAAGGAGAAGAAAGGTGATGAGAGAAGGAAGAGAAGAGCAAAAGGAGAGGAGAAGAAAGAAGAAATGAGAGAAGAGAGGAAAAGAAAGAAGAGGATAGTACAGAAGAGGGTAGAAGAAAGAGGAGAGAAAGAGAAGAAGATTAGAAATGAGAGAGGAATGGAGAGGAGAAGAAAGGAAAGAGAAAGAAGAGGAGAGGAGGACAGGAGAGGAAAAGGAAAGGTGATGAGAGAAGGAAGAGAAGAGGAAAAGGAGAGGAGAAGAATGAAGAAATGAGAGAAGAGAGGAAAAGAAAGAAGAGGAAAGTACAGAAGAGGGTAGAAGAAAGGAGAGAAAGAGAAGAAGAAGATTAGAAATGAGGAATGGAGTGGAGAAGAAGGGAAAGAGAAAGAAGAGGAAAGTGGAGGAGGACAGGAGAGGAAAAGGAAAGGAGAAGAAAGGTGATGAGAGAAGGAAGAGAAGAGCAAAAGGAGAGGAGAAGAAAGAAGAAATGAGAGAAGAGAGGAAAAGAAAGAAGAGGAAAGTACAGAAGAGGGTAGAAGAAAGAGGAGAGAAAGAGAAGAAGATTAGAAATGAGAGAGGAATGGAGAGGAGAAGAAGGGAAAGAGAAAGAAGAGGAAAGTGGAGGAGGACAGGAGAGGAAAAGGAAAGGAGAAGAAAGGTGATGAGAGAAGGAAGAGAAGAGCAAAAGGAGAGGAGAAGAAAGAAGAAATGAGAGAAGAGAGGAAAAGAAAGAAGAGGATAGTACAGAAGAGGGTAGAAGAAAGAGGAGAGGAAGAAGAAGATTAGAAATGAGAGAGGAATGGAGAGGAGAAGAAGGGAAAGAGAAAAGAGGAAAGTGGAGGAGGACAGGAGAGAAGAAAGAGAAGAGGAAAAGGAGAGGAGAAGAAGAAATAAGGGAAGAGAGGAAAAGAAAGAAGAGGAAAGTACAGAAGAGGATAGAAGAAAGAGGAGAGGAAGGGAAAGAAGAAAGAAAAGAAGATTAGAAATGAGAGAGGAATGGAGAGGAGAAGAAGGGAAAGAGAAAGAAGAGGAAAGTGGAGGAGGACAGGAGAGGAAAAGGAAAGGAGAAGAAAGGTGATGAGAAGGAAGAGAAGAAAGGAGAAGGAAATGGGGGAGAGAAGAAAGATGAGGGGAGAGGAAAGTTGTGGAAAGAGGTAAGAGTTGAGCAAGAAGAGGGGGTTAATAATCACCTGGGGGGGGGGGAATGTCCCATGGGCCTTCGTAGTGCTCTCTGGGTTGCAAAACCAGCCTTTTCTGTATGGGGGGCTTTCCCCTTTCCGGAGGGCCCTGTGCCCCTCAACCAGTGCATGCCAATGGGTCTGACCCTGAGCTAAGAAGCAAGGCATGGCTGGCCCCTGTTTTCCAGAAGCCTGGCTTCCTGCGGTGCGTCTGCAAAGGATTAGCTCACAAGAGGCTAATCTTAATCCTGGGGAGGCATTGTCTTCGGTCACCTCTCAGTTTGGTCTCAGCTCCTTGGTTTCCTCCAGAGAATTGGAACCATTCCAATAATAATAATAATAATAATAATAATAATAATAATAATAATAATAACCATTATTATTATTATTATTATTATTATTATTATTATTGATTCCCCGCCACTATCTCCCCAAGGGACTTGGAGCGGCTTACATGAGGCCAAGCCCAACAACACATCCAAAACAACAAGCAATAAACAATACAATTAATATAACTCACAGGTAGACAATAACACACAACGATTTAAAAACCCATGGCTGAGCCATATGCAATAGTTAAAACTTCAAAAATAAATGCTGGACATGAACAGAGGGTGTCTCTACTAGGAGGGTTTTAAACCAAAAGTAGAGTTGCTGTGGCCCACATGGGACCGCATCTCGGCCTATGAGCCCACGAGGGCCTTGAGATCGTCTGGGGAGGCCCTTCTCTCGATCCCGCCTGCCTCACAGGCTCGTCTGGCAGGGACGAGAGAGAGGGCCTTCTCAGTGGTGGCCCCCCGGCTGTGGAACACCCTCCCTACTGACATCAGACAGGCGCCCTCCCTTATGGCTTTCCGTAAGAGCCTAAAGACCTGGCTATTCGAGAAGGCATTTAAATGAGTGCTACATTAAC